AAAATAGCCTTATGCATATTATACGTAAATATGTACAGGGCTTTCATTTCAAAACTTGCCACTCACGTTATCTGCGTAAATAGACAGATTTCTAGAAATCGCCGAAACATGTCAACAAATTTATTGAGGGGGTGCGTTAATTTGTTGACGTGTACCGGCGATTTCCAGAAATCTGTCTCTTTAGGCAGATAACGTGGGTGGCAAATTTCGAAATGAAAGCCCCTGTATGCATATATGTACGTATACAGATGCGTGTATAACAGTATATGTGTTATGTGTATGTACACATACCTACATTTATGTCGATGGTTTCCATTCGCATCGACGCGCATGCTCGTAAATAACACAGTATCGTAGTATAGGGTGATTCAAAAAGCGCGCCAGATTTGAATTGCTTGAAAAAGAGTTTTGGCATGCCATCAAAGTAGAGGGGGGCCATGCCCTTTGTCATTTTCCATACCCAGATTGAGAAGGTTTGATCCAACCGGTTCATCTTAATTCTAAAGATATTTAAAAAAAAGAGCTCCTTTTTTAATGTATTAAATCTGGCGCGCTTTTTTGCTGTATATAGGGTGAATACAGGGTGTTTTCTAAGTTAGAGTTTTTCTTTTTAAATAACGTGGAACTTAAAAAAATACAGGAGTTTTCCAAATAATATTTTCTCGACAGCTCAAAAATAAAAGAGATAGGTATGTTCATTTCAAATAATATCAAAAATCAAATATTTTAATAATTATATTTTTAAAAATACAAAAGGTAAAATTCTCAAATTTAATCTTTTTTTCCAGAAATCTGTCTCTTTACGCAGATAACGTGGGTGGTAAGTTTTGAAATGAAAGCCCTGTACATATTTACGTTTAATATGCATAAGGCTATTTTCGAAATTCTCGAATGTAGGGCTGAGAAATCTTACCTCTTTAGGACAATGTGACCATTCAATTGTAGTAATATTTACCAAACTACAGTTATAAAATCAACTGGTTATAAATCGTTTTTTATGAGCCAGTAATTGCTTCATTTTTGAGAAAGGGGACACTGAAGACCAAACCATGTATTTTGTGGTTCAAATCGAATTTCGAATTATTTATAAAATTATCTCATTATTCACCTGAAAAATTAACTGTTAACTGTTAATAATTACATTTGCATAATCACCTAATCAAGGTATTTTACATGTGCTATGTGCTCACTAGTGCTCACTCTAGTAGCTACTACTTTTGCAACTTTTCGCAATAGAGAAGTTAGGCGTATTATCAATACGAAGATGCTCGAGAAGATTAAGCCGGTGTTCGGTGATTGATGAATAAAGTATTACCGTGAAGTCGACAACTTTTGAGTGTAGGACTGGAGAAATGTACCTCTTTATTTGTAGGACAGTGTAACCATTTAATTGTAGTAATATTTACTAAGCTACATTAAAAAAATCAACTGGTTATAAATCATTTTTTATGTAACGTATCTGCTACATTTTTGAGAAGGGAGACAGCCTAGATCAAACCATTTATTTTGTCGGACAAATGTTGTTTCATATTATTTATGAAACTATCTCAACATTCAGCTACAAAATTAACTGTTATTATTTACATTTGTATGATCACCAAATAGACATGTTTTCCACCTGCGCACTCTGTTAGCTACCTGTTTTTGGAATTTTCGCAACAGAAAATTTGGGCGTCTTATCAAAATGAAGATACTCACGAAGATTTAGCCGGTTATTAATGAAAAAAGTTAAATCGTGAAATCGACAACTTTTGAGTGTAGGACTGAAAATAGCTACCTGTTTATTTGTAGGACAGTGTGACCATTTAATTGTAATAATATTTACCAACCTACATTGAAAAAATCAACTTGTTATTAATCATTTTTTATGCAACGTAATTGCTACATGTTTGAGGGGGGGACATCGTAGACCAAACCCTTTATTTTGTCGGACAAATGTTGTTTCAAATTATTCATAAAATTATCTCAACATTTAGGTGAAAAACTAACTGTTATTAATTAAATTTTCATAGTCACCAAATCGACATGTTTTACACCTGCGCAGTATGTTAGCTACCTGTTTTCGCAATTTTCGAAGAGAAAAAAGTTGGGCGTCTCGGTGAAATGAAGCTGCATTGAAAAAACTAGCTTGTTATTAATGATTTGGAAAAAAGGTCCTCGGCCCCCGGACTAAATGATCTTAACCTCCAATTACCTACTTTCAAATTATTGGTACAACTTTGACAGTTTGTTTCAGAGTTTGAGATCAGAGAAACTGATAAAAAATAATTCGGTAATAAAAACAAAACATCAATAGCCATTATGTGTTAAATAAGTTTATAAAAAATTAAAGTAAATTAAAAAGTAAAAGTAATTATCACACGCAAAACCACTTGCCTACCTCCAAATAAAAATAATATACTTTTTTACATGCTCATTACGAAAATAACTTAATGACCGTAGAGCAATTACCACATTATTTTGTTATCTGACGTAGAATTCAACATTTCAACAACCAGTGTTTTTTCTACCTGATGTTGATATAATTCCATAAATGAATTCATTCACTTCAATGATCTGTTAGGGATTTTAAGCACTCATCAGTCTGAAGGATGTTTATGGGAAATTTAAAATTTCAATTGAGTGCTTTCAACATTAAAGGGATAATATCGAATAAGTAGAACCAAAACGAATATTAAAAAATATATGTAGGTATATACCTACCTACAATGAAGAAAAAAGAAAGGGCAACTAAGTATGAACATACAATAAAAAATCTAAAAATAAATCGAAACAAAGGTGATCACAAATGAGGACTTTTTATCAATTGAGATGAAATATAATCTGAATACATACAGCTGTTTTCCATCAAACATGAATGCGAAGTCGAAATTTCCGTCTTTTCGTCTGTACACTCTTGCAATTGCGTTTCATTGAAGGACTAACTAAAGTCAAAGACGCGAGCAATCACACCCTTTTCCAAAGCGTGCGCACAGCCCTTCACCTGGTTTATTGCGCGTCGCCATGGCGATCGTGTAGGGCAACGGCCAGTGAAAACTGAAAAAAGGCAATTGAGAAAAATAACGATGATGAATGATGATCAACATCACCATTCAAATTATGTGAAGCAATAATAACGATCTACTCTGTAGTGAACTGTGATGTCTAGAAAAAATATGTTACGACCTACCATATACCAATGGAAGGTACCTACCACTTTTCTGATTTAACCAACAAGGATTTTGACCAAAATCGCTTATTTACTTAACGCTAAAAACCTATATTTTGGTTTCAAGATTTTATATTCCCTAGAAGAGATTACCTACCTCCATTATTTTTATTGGACTGTGAAACATGGCATGGAGATATAAAATTTCGTACAAATATTAAATAATTGAAATCATTATATTACATCTACGTATCTGATGTCTGAGGTTAATGATGGGTTATTAAAACTTCGTTAAACACCGAATGTTTCACCAATAAAAGTTCGCTTGGAGCTTAAACAAATTCAACCATCGCGGTTTATAATTAATTTATCGCTAGACATCAGACATAATAAAAAAAAATTAACGAAGCCCGTTGCATTCCAAATATGTCTTGATATCATACAGGGTGTCATGAGATAAACTGCATGTCTTCGCATCCAAGTGAAAAAAAAATTATAATTCTATTTCTGCGCTTGATATTCATTCGCGATGTGCTCTGTTTGATAAAAGAACCCTACTCAATAAGTTCTGAAAGTTTGAACTAGTTTGAAGTCCCTCTGATTGCTTGAAGTATTTTTCAGAAGCTCTCAAAGGTGATTCAATAGAAATTTTACATGATTTTTTTGCATGAGGAAAGATTCATAATTCCATTTCTGAGCCTGAGATCCATTCGCGGTTTGTTTTGTTTGATAAGAAGACCCTACTCAATAAATGTTTGAAGTACCTCTAATTGCTTGAAATATTTTCCAGTTCCAGAAGTTTCCAGAATTCTTTACGATGTCTTGGGGTGTCTATTAAATATCTATGTCTCAAACTTCTGTTGTGTGTTGTATGACGAAAATGAAACTTGCTTATAAGATATGATGGTTTTTGAACCAAGAAATTCCACCAATCTTGCTTTAACAACTTTTTCTATAATCTTTGAAAGGGTAGTTAGCATATATATGGGTCGGTAGTTAGAGAGGTCTTGATCATCACCGCCTTTAAGGATACGAATAACAATAGCCAGCTTCAGAAAATCCGGAAATTGACCCATTTCAAAAGAATGATTGATACGAGCGCTGCAAGTGCAACTTCCGGCAAGCACTTGAACAGCCTGTTTTTTGATGCTTCCAATTATGTTTTATACTTCTGCAATGCTAGTGGGGGTTAACCTGAAATCCTGAAATGTTCCGCTGGTGTGAAAGGTGGTAAAAAACTTAGCGGATCTTTGTTCGTTTTAAGTTGCTTGTTAATTTACCCGCCACTGTGCAGTAGAAGCTGTTGAGCTCTGACGGAGTAACACTTACTTTGTTTGAGGTTTTTGATGTTTTCCCCCCCATTTCATTTACTATTTTCCAATAATCTCTATTGGAATTATTTGCTCTATCTATTCTTTGCTGGTAGTAAATTTTCTTCGCTGCTCGAATAATTTTTTTATAAATTTTGCGATACAAAACAAAATAGTTGTTGAACCATTCAGATTCAGATTTAGCAAATCTTCTTATGGTGTGTAAGGATCGTAGGTTTTTACCAGGTTTGAGTTTTATTTTACGCAAAGGAAAACTTTCGCTAAAAGAAGAAGAACAGTTGCCCATATGGGTCATAAGTACCCTTAAACCGTACCAACCGTACCGATTTTGAAAAAAAAAAGACACAATATTGATAGAGAGGGTATTAATTACCTGTCAAAAGATAAATGTGGGACCCTATCGAAAATCGTCAAAATTGTTTCTATTGCTTCTAGCATCTGTATAAAATCGACAAAATTCCATAAAAATGTGACAATACAAATCAAATAACCTATTTTGGTTTAAAAAACAAGATTTATTGGCTTATTTAATTTACATATTTTCATCCCAATACACTTATTTTATCTAAAATCTGACCTAGGATAGGACCAAACTTGATATCTACATTATAACATGACTTAATTACATGGCTTTAATTTGATATTGGCCCATTATCACAAGACGAGACATGCAGGCTTAAATAACTCAATATAATTAAAAATTTATTGCATAATTTGTTCCAAGAATTCAGAATATTACATGAGATGATTAGATTACTCATTTTTTTTTTTTTTTTTTTCAAAAATTTGTTGCAAAATTAAAGATATCATTATATTTTATACAAATTCTGTATTTAAATTAAGATAAAACATACCACAAAGGTTTTTTTTTAAATTTACTCCATGGTCTAAAAAATGCGTAGAAGATACCTAATCATGGTAAAAAGTTCCGCACTGCAAGTAGGTACCTACTAGAATTTCTAAAAAATTCCATTGACCAATCATCATGATATTTTGAAATAATGATTACATATTAACCTAGGATGTCATATAAATACATATTAACGCAAGATTCTGTAGAGTTTAAATCTTTTAAAATTGCAACTTTTTGGCAACTTTCTTTGTGGTACATGATGATATAGGAGATTTTCGTAACTTCTTAGTAGACTCATCTTCTTCTCCAATATCAGGCTTTAATAGAACCATGGGTTTTTCATTATCATTATCTGATTTTTTATTGGATTTAATATTCACTGGCTTGATGGGGCTCAAGTAATCGTCAATTTCTGGCTTAGAAACGTCCTTGAAATCATCAACTATAGCAGAATCCCTTGACGGACTAGCTTGAAACGTTTCTAATTTTGAATTTCGCGAAAACGTTCCTAGATTTCGATTTTGAGATTCCATTGTCGAAAATCTTTGTCTTATTATCTGTACTATGCTATGATTGGCTTTTGGTGAAGAGGCATGTGAATTGGAGGATTCCCTAACGGTTACCGTTGAAGTTTCCTTTACTGGTGAATTCAGTTTAGTTTTGGCTGATACCTTTCTGGGAGTATTAATTGCAGATAAATTTATTTTAAGATTCTCCTTTTTTAATGGTAAATCAGGTTTTTTCGATGCTGAGTTTGTGCGATCTTTTTTAATTTGTAAACTTCTGATTCCATTAACACATTTATTTGACATTTTACTTTCTCGCTTTGAAGTACTTTCAGGCAAAGTTGATTCTAATTTTATATTTTTATTGTCTGTAATCTCGAAAGCATCCTTGTTTATTTGAATTGTGTCACTTTCTTTAGGCAACGATGGAGGTGCATCTGAACTATTACTTTCCAAATTTTCTTTATCTTCCACATTTTTCTCAAAACGTTTGGCCTCGCTACGTATTGCGTCAAGCTCATAATAGGTTTCGTCTTCTTCTTCCTCTTTGTCGAATGAGTCATCAGTCATAATACTTCCCAGTGAAATTGTTTCTTCAATCGGTCCTAACTCTTGATATATTTCCTCATTCGAACTAAGAGATGAATGACTTGTAGGGATCTCAGGTAAACTTCGTGGTATACTAGGTTTCTTAGTAGGTTCTTCGTTTATTGGAATAGTTAGAGGTTTAAACTGAGGCCTGGAAAAAATAATTATTTGTTAGTATTCTGCACTCACAGGGTCCGGCAATAGTGAGCTCGGATACCAATCAAATTAGGAAAATATTTTCGCATATACAGTGTGTCCCAGATTCGCTTCTCTATATAGGGATCTCGACTCCTATAATACCCACAGCATAGGTTAAATGGGGAAAGTTCTAGAGGAAGCTAAGTGCATTCGATAATCGGCTTCAGATTCACGATCGCTCAATTAGAGTTGGAAATATCGGCGAAAAACCGAAAATGGTGGATTTCGTTTTTTGCCAGTTAACTCGAAACGGTTAATTTGACAGCTGTGAAATTGTGACATTATTCAGACACTTTTTTAAGACCAATGAGATAGCGTGCATGACAGGTCTCAATCGTCTTTTGTTATCCCGCAACCCGCCTCAACTTTCATTTTTCTTATGGCCGCCATATTGAATTTTTCGATTTTTGGAAAAAACATAGAATTTCCAGTCTAGTGATCAGTGGCGACGCCAGGGGGGGCGGGGCCCCCCCTGAAAACTTGCGCTTGTGCCAAAAGTCGCATAAAAAAAGTCTATACCGAAAATATAACAAAATGTTATATATGATATTATATACAGTGTGTCCACTCAAGTTCGCAGCATATGGGAAACTTTTTTATTATCAATTTTACGGAAAAAGTTATTCCTTATAAAAGTTTCTGCTTCTTGAGAAAATACTATTAAACTATTGAAACTTGAAATAGCATGTACAGGGTCGTCAAAAAATAGAAAAATATGCAGGGTGTTTCCGCAGTACGGTTCGTAACTTCAGGATGTGATTCCTTACAATAGAAAGTGACCGATTGTAAATGCTTATAACTTCTAAACCAGGTGTGCTAGCTACCTGCGATTTGCAGGATACCGGATACACGATGTCAAAATTTTAGAAAAAATCGTTTTTCCACAAACGTCAAAAAATGACGACTTTTTTAACCTCAATTCTTAATGTTGAAGTTTGACTTCACAGACGTCATTTTTTTGGTTACTTTTTTGTCCGCGGGTTCCATGAGCGTACAAAAAAGTACTTTTTTGTACGCTCACGGCCGGACAAAAAAGTGACGTCACAGAAATTTCCATCGCTTTGAACTCCGTTGGCGGAAAAAATCGTAGGTATGTCTTATTTGGAGAAAAGCACTTTTTGTGGCTCGTCTAAAATTGTCGAACATTTAGTCTCGCCACAAAAAGTATCACTTTTACTCCTAATAAAACAATATACTATTTTTTAGCTCAAAAATCCCTTTTCCAATTTTTTTTTCAAAGGACCCCGCAATATTTAAATGGAAATTGGTTACCCGTGATATTTGGATGGATTTTAAATATGTTATTGGCGATGCCGTAAACAACATTTTTTACCATGGGCACAACCCTGTATATATGACAGGTGAGGCGTGGTTAGCTGTCAAATATTGGAATCTTATATTCAAAAGCAGAGTAACTAGGGCAGATTTTGATGAACAAAAAATCTATTTCTACTTAGTCGACCAAGTTAAGTCGAAAAATTTCAACCATTTTGACACCTTTCAAAACCCTGCCAAACGGCAGCACTCATCTTTTCTAGTTTTCAATATTTCATAATGTCATTTGACATTTTTAACTTGTATGTGAATTCTGAATTTAAAAATTGAAAAAAAAAATGACAGAACTGTCAAAACCTGTCATTTGTTTCAGTAGAAAAAAATACTCTAATTTGGTTCTTTTTAGTTTCAAGGTAGTTTATTGGTGATAAAACATTAAACAAAGTTCATGCATGTCACATTTTGACAATTGTCAGAATCTGTTAATAGCTTTTTGGTTCCATATTGTTTGCTTAGTCAAGTTCTAAGTTCTACAACTAGAATGAGAGAATAATACAATAATACAATAGAACTAAACCAATTTTATGCCCGTTGTAGGACTTCACTAATGGCCATTTGCACCGCTATCACTTAAGGGATATTTAATCTAAGTGGAGCTTTGAATGTTAGTTTTGTTTCTACAAGAGTCACATTCAAAGTTCCACTTGAATAAGATATCCGTCAAGTTATAGCGGTGCAAATGACCGTAAGCAAACAAACTCAATATGAACCAAAAAGCAATTAACAGATTCTGACAGTTGTCAAAATGTGACATGAATGAACTTTGTTTAATGTTTTATCACATATTAGAGTATTTTTTTCTACTAAAACAAATGACAGGTTTTGACAGCTCTGTCATTTTTTTTTTTTTCAATTTTTGAATTCAGAATTAACATACAAGTTAAAAATGTTAAATGACATCATAAAATATTGAGAATGGGAAAAGATGAGTGCTGCCGTTTGGCAGGGTTTTGACAGGTGTCAAAATGATTGACATTTTTCGACTTAACTTGGTCGACTTAGTAGACATCGATACTTCGTTCATCAAAATCTGCCATAGTCACTCTGCTGATGGATATAAAATTCCAATATTTGACAGCTAACCACGCCTCACCTGTCATATATACAGGGTTGTTCCCATGGTAAAAAATGTTACTTACGGCATCCCCAATAACATATTTAAATTTCATCCAAATATCACGGGTAACCAATTTCCATTTAAATATTGCGGGGTCCTTTGGCAGGTTCGTTTGTGATAACGAAAGGTATTCTTCGACTGTAATATGTCTTGCTTAATCAGGAAAAAATATCGAAGGTATAAAAAAATAGTGACGTGCCATTTTTTTTCTACTTTTACCAAAAGAAACTGTATATTTTTCTATTTTCTGACTACCCTATACATGTTATTGCAAGTTTTAATGGTTTAATAGCATTTTTTCAAGAAGCAGAAACTTTATTAAAGAATAACTTTTTTTCGTAAAATTGATAATAAAAAAGTTTCCCATATGCTGCGAACTTAAGTGGACACACTATATACAGGGTGTCCCACGACGTTTGTCCCAGGTGATAACTTCGGAACGCGTCATCCAATATAATTGATATTTTGAGGATCTGGGTAACTTTTTGAGCCGCTTCTACCACTGTCATCCAATTCCACCATTTTTGCTCCAATTTCGGCCAAGTGACGTCAACTTTCGAATTTTAGATGTAACTCATGGTATATTATGGCATTTTTCGTTAAAAAATTAAATTACAAAATTGGTTATGCCATATTTGTTAAGGTTTTGTTAAAAGATATGACAGAAAATTATACAGTGGAACATACGATGATGCGTTCCGAAATTATCATTTGGGAAAAACCTCGAGGGACACCCTGTATATAATATGAATCTTGATAATATTGTTGATACTTTTGCTAAAAATCATAATAACCGAAGAATTTTACTGCTTTAGGTTTTAGGTTTCGGTAAGTAGTAGTTTTCCGCACGCATTTCCGTGCCCAAAGTTACACTTTTTCGCACTCTGTGCGCATAAGGTCTTCATCCGTATTGAGTGCGAAAAAGTAAAACTAATTATCAAGCAACAATAAGTGCACCTGTCGACTTTGACACATGATGAAATTTTTTTCTTCTGTTTCTATATCATCTCTACAAACTGGGTTTGCTTGCGGAACATTAACACTTTGCGCAATTGTTAGAAAAATAACTATTTTTACTTGGATATGTCTTGCGTTGATGTTTTTTTTCACCCCCTAAATTTTTCTGCTCCATAGTCTGGCCCCCCCTAATTTTTTCTGGCCCAGTCTGGCCCCCCCTAACATAAAACCCTGGCGTCGCCACTGCTAGTGATGTGTCACAAGTGGATAAAAGATTTGAGTGTCATCGCAAACTTACACTTCGTAAAGTTAATGTCTGGCCAACGGTTATGAAGCTACGGAGTAAGGGAAATTAAGTTGTAAAAAAAATGGCTGTCGGCTGATTTCATCCATAAAATACCTACCCAGGTACGTGCGGAACTTTTTGGAAGTATATCGTACACGAAAATCGACAGACTAAATCACCGCCATTAGATATTTCAATGTAAGTCGATATTTCAAGATGGCAGTCATCGCAGGAACACGGATGAGAACACTTCTTCCGCTACCACACCGCCTTTGAAGATGACTACCGCAGCAGTAGACGGAACGAGTATTACTAGACCACGGCATTATAACTTGGAAAAAACTTTTTTACTCTCTGTACCGTTGATTTTGGCACAGCAATTTCACGTTCTACAGTTCTTACTGATGCACTAGGATTTTCGTTGACAGCTAGTGAAATGTTTCTGTCGCGGTTTTCATTATCAATATTTTATCCGCTTCTAGGTTTTTCGAAGGCCACATGGTTAATTAAATTAACTACGATTTCTGTGAATTACGTTTTATGAGGCTGCCCTCGTTCGGGGTACATCTCCAAATACCTTGCTGAGGTAATGTCGGCGTTTCTGAGTGACTGCAATTACAGCGCTAACAAGTCAAAACTTTCTTCATTTGAATAAGGAATACCGGCCATTTTCAACACGTTTCGACAATTTGTGTCTCCAGGTTTATGATTTTAATGGAAGAGAACTTACTATTATTAATAGACAACTTTGACACTATAAATTATTTTATCCTAAACAAAAACATCTAATTTTGTCTATTATCAAAAGTAAACATTTCCTAGACGTACCATCAGCTTTTGTCAATTTGGCAAACATCCGGCCTGGATGAACGTGATTCGTGGAGTTTTTGGCACGATCGCCGTTGCCACGGAACCATGCGGTTGCCATGGGGCTTACGTCTCGCTATTGGCTGGTCAGGGTTCCCGTAACTTTATCCTTGCATCTTGAAATATCGACTTGCTTTGAAATATCCAGTGGCGATGGTTTGGTTATTGTCGATTTTCTTGTACGATATTATACTTCCAAAAAGTTCCGCACGCAGCTGGGTAGGTATTTTATGAATGAAATCAGCCGACAGCCATTTTTTTACAACTGGATTTCCCTTACCGATGCCCCCTTAGTTTCAGAATCGTTGGCCAGACAACTTAACGAAATTTGATTTCTCGATGATACTCAAATCTTTTATCCACTTGTGATACATCACTAGACTGGAAATTCTATGCTTTTTCCAAAAATCGAAAAATCCAATATGGAATAACAAAAGACGATTGAGACATGTCATACATGCTATCTCAATGGTCTTAAAAAAGTGTCTGAATAATGTCACATTTTGACAGCTGTCAAATCAACCGTTTCGGGTTAACTGGCAAAAAACGAAATCCGTCATTTTCGGTTTTTCGCCGATATTTCCAAATTTAATTGAGCGATCGTTAATCTGGAGCCGATTATCGAATTCTCTTAGCTTTGTCTAGAACTTTCCCCATTTAACCTTTGCTGTGGGTATAATAGGAGTCGAGATCCCTGTATAGAGAAGCGAATCTGGGACACACTGTTTATGTACGTACAGTGTGGCCTAAATGAGGAAGTTGCATAAAATTTTATTTTGATGGAAAATGTATTTAAAGTGAAGCAAAATACTCTAGAAGTAGGAATATTTCTAGATTCAAATCCTCTTTATACTGAACCACTAATAAATAATTAATTATTCAAATATTGAATATAACAAAGCACGAGAAAACGCTCTCAATTTGATTATGACGTCATGGAACGATAAACAAACAAAAGTGTGGTTATATTAACGTGATACGTGAGCCGTCAGACGCTTGTGTTTACATGACGCATGTTGTTTCATTCACCGTTCTGTTGGCAACGTTATCTGACTGTTGCTCATCAGAGAATTTCTGTTGGCTTGTTGTTGTGCCGGTGAGTTGATGGATAAAACAACGGGTAGGAAAACCGCTCCGCTAACCTATACTTACTCTTTATACGTACCTACTTGTCTTTTCCATTTTAAAAACTTTTCAATCTATTCAACTTCAATCCAATCTCTACTTGAAATGATACCACGAAGCCCTGTATATATTCAAATTTTATTTTGTTCCCTTTTTTCAAAATACTAAAACAAAAACGGTTTATTATTATTTCGATCAAATTAAATAGATAATATCGAGGATAATATAAAAAACAAGTGTTTCCAAAAACTGACAACAAACCTCAGTTTCTCGAAACTACTTAACGCAACAGTCAACACTGCTAAAACTCATCTCCTCACATCGTTGGGTTGGTGACTCCAACGGTGTAGCCATCGTAAAACGCCGATGAAAAAAACAACACTTATGATGGAGCATCGACTGATCATTTGTTGAATTTAACAACGCCCAGATGCTCAACGTCGCCAACGTTCCTTCAACAGTTGAATAAAACAACATGCGTATGGAGTTCTACCGATGGATCCACCATTCTATGTCGGTCATTGCCATTTTCTATTCACAAAACAGAGATACTCCTCGTTTTTATTCTAATCGGCGACTTCACCGATGAGTTAGCTATCTTTCTTTAGTGAATGGAAAATGACAATGATCGACATAGTCGTATAAACCAATGACATAAAACACAAACGACAATGGGTAAGACAGGGAGGAAGTACGACTCGTTTTGACGGATATCGTCTTGGAGGTCATTGATTTACGACTGCGTTTTGGCGCGAAGAGAGTTATTTTGATTTTCTATATTTTTTTACAGAAAAACTATTAGTTAAAAATTTGAAATTTATGTGGCAAGTGACTTTTTACAATGTGAAGAATTTAATGAGAGAATAAAAAACAAAATGTGCAAATTCCTCATTGGGGTGGCGATAAAAAATGGTATTTTTAAAAATATCATTTAAATGTGTCTCTCATGAATGTCTGGAAATTTTATTCGATTTGCTTTAGTATAAGTGCCTACTTTAGGAGCGGTAAATAAATCATTTTGCATTCCAGTAAAAAAATCATAAGCCATTTCAGGAGCTACATTTTGTAACCACTGCAAAATGTGGAACTCAATGCAAAAATAACGGTTCAGAGCATTTATTGACAAAATGGCGAAAAGCTACAACACATTTTACTTTATTGCTCTGTTCCAACCGACATGGGAATCGTTTCAGAACAAGTAATTTCCAGTCGCTTACCTATTTTTCAATAAGTTGAACGTTTATCCTACTTGATAAATGAATTGATCGACTGGAAATTACCGTTCTAGAAAGGTTCTCATGTCGGTTGGAATAATAGAGCTATAATACCGCTCTAGAACGGTAATTTCCAGTCGATCACTTCATTTGTCAAGTAGGATAAACGTTCAACTTTACTGGTTGTGGAATAGTTCTCATGCCGGTTGGAACAGAGCTGATATGTTTAAATACAGATCAGAAAATAAATTACTTTCAAATGATTGACTTGAAAATCTATTTTTCGTTCTTGTTGGCGTGTTTCTGTTTGAGCGTTCGTCTTTATTCAAGAATTTTGAATTTATGAGAATTCTAGAGATTTCTCGACCGAGTGGTAACCGCGTTTAATTCAGACACTTTTGAAAGAACCTGGAGCAGCGCTGGCCGCTGCACGCTGATTATTTAATCAAGTTTCCAAAGAGGTCTGGGGTCTTTTTCACTAAGGCTGCTCATACTTACATTTCAATTTCGTTATAAATATTTTCATCATCAGGATTGTCCTGCGGATTTTGACAATAATCGTAAACAAGATCACCCAATCCTTTGCTTTCCCTAACAGCCTTATCATGGCTTCTGTTAATATGGACGACCCATTGCAACATGTCTTTGTGTGTGGTAGCAACAAACTGCAAAAATAATTGTATATCGAATAATAAAAAATTAGTCCCCTTACACTGTAGCTTTTTTTCTCAGGTGACATCGATTGAAAAACTTTAAAAGATGACGCCATTTTATTGCTAGTTTTTTTCAAGCCGCCATCCCTTGTGATGTCAAGTTCAGTCACAGTCGGATCGGATTCATCTTCTTTCGCCTCGTACCTATTTAAATCCAGTACGCAAAATGGTTTAGCATCTTTGCTCGATCCGTACATGAGCAGCCAATTCTCTTGTATTGCTCCATACACTTTACTGGAACAACCAATTATGTTGAACATTTTTTTACGTATTGATAATGTCCCATGTTTGACTTCGTTTGATATTTGTTTAGCAGGCAAATCTAGAATATTTTGATTGTAATTAATTTGCTGTTCATAGGAAATTGAAAAAGGGACTCACCTTTATACGGACACTCTGTTTCAGATAAAAGTGGTATTATTGGTTGTGGAGCAGGTACTGGTTTTTTAACAGGAAGAGGTGGTGGGGGTTCTGCAAATAAAAAACAGATTTTATTGAAATACTATATGCACTTAATTTTAAAATTTTGTACCATTGGAATTTTTCGACATGTCCACATAGCGATCATCTTGGGTATGTTCATTCTCTTTATTTTTGCGAATTGCAATTTTCTGCAACTGTTGTTTTGATCTGTCGATTAATATTTCAGCTAATTGTCTATCATCGGTAGATAATGTTGGGTTTTCTTTTCTTTTTTTGAGGTACTCATATATATCTGAAAAAGAATAGGTACCAGAAAATTTCAAGAAAATGCAGCGAATAGAAAACTTGGTAAACCCATAGTTTGATAAAATAGGTTTGAATGTGCATCTTGAAAATACGCTATTTTGAAAAAAAATTATTAGTTTTTATTGTATTTATATAGGTGTTTGAGCACCTATTTACCTGATAAAAATACAGGGTGGGGCACGAAAAACTTCCCAGCCAGGTTTTCTGAGGTGTTAGGTGGTTGATCAACAATTTTTGTTTTTTGGGGGACGCAATTTATTAGTATTTTCACCCCCTACCTGTCAACCCCTAAGCGGAGTGACATGTACCCCAAAAATTTCAAATGGAGAAGGGGGTCGAATGATACGTCATTTGATAGCTATTTTTATTAAGATTATATTATTGAAGTTTTAAGTTGCTACTATTTACCCTGCCCAATGGCGGCTTGTCAAAGTTAGGAAAAATGCTTTTTTTCGATTATCTGAACTGTGTGGTTTTTACCTCATAATAACAAAGAAGATTTTTTTAAGGGTATCCATAAGAAGATTAGTTTTTTCGAATTTCGAAAAAACCAAATATCCTATTCGGTAGAGAAGGCGGAAAGGGTTCACGGACTCCACCGCGAAAACACGAACCGCGCGCGACATCACCGCGCAAAATTTTACCGCGCAAGACCATAACCGCGCATAATTAATAACCGCGTGGTCCAAAATCACTTTTGTCACAACCGCTCATACCTTTTATCGCGCAAAATTCTAAATATGTAGCGTTTACATTAAAAACCGCGCAAAGTATTAAAATAAATTTTCCTTTCTATATGACAGAACCTTTGAATATAAAACTACAGGAAGGAGCGTTGTCTATCTGTCACTGCAAACAAAAAAGCGACGGAAGCCGCCATTTTGAGCCTCCAAGTTTGGACTCATCATTTGTTTTGGTGGTTCCCTGTGTCCTCATTTAAGTGGATGTTTAATGGATTTTAGCGGTTTTAAGTGATGATAAGTACTGGAATTAGTGAGAAAAGAGTGAGTCATAATATTGACAATCATATTTAAATAAATATACGCCACTGCCAAACCGGGAATACTAGTCGGCCATATGCAACCTCCACATATTTTGGTCGCGCAGATTCGAAGTTATGCTCCTTCCTGTAGTTTTATATTCAAAGGACAGAACCGCGCATCTCTTATTTTGTTTGTTGAAATGCAATACAATTTTAATATACACAATCAGGAAAAAGATACATATTATATTTATTGATTTGCTGCATTAATCGTGAAAATGTCAATACCGAACTTAGAAATCATCTTTGAAGATCTCAAGTCTCTATGGAATATGCAGGATCTTTTTTAGGCAGAAATTTCCATCTTCTTCTCGACCTTTGACACAGATCAATGAATAGTATCTGCTATTATCGCCTTAATATCACCATCCATTTTTTGTTAAAAGAGCACTCTATGAAGACCTCCAAAAACCAAATTTAAATAACAGAATTGTATAATAAATGTTTTTATCTATAAAACTTAGGTAAAAAAAGCTTTACTGCAAGAAAAATATTTCAATTTTAGTATTAAACTATTAAACAACTTTATAGGGATCTCCAAAAACCCCATTTTTAAATGACAGATTTCCCGATTTTTTTTAGTAACAAATATAATATGTTTGTCGCTGGAAATTTTTTGAATATTTTGTCTAAATCTGTTATTAAAAAACCTAATTTTTAAATTAAAATACTCAGACTCACATAACAATAACTCGAGCGATTGTGATATTAAGCTGATATGAATAGATATTATTCATTGATCTGTGTCAAAGGTTGAGAAGAGGATCTGAATTTGTAATTAGGAAGCGTTTCCAAACTAAATTTTCAATAACTTCGACAACCTAAGTATATATGGTTTTCGACCCAAAGCGTTTCAACTATTTCGCTGTTATGTATCCTGCGCGGTTTTGTTTTGCGCGGTTTTCCACTTTCGCGGTAATTGCTCAAAAACATTTTTTCGCTGTTTTGTGTTGCGCGGTTTTGATCTTGCGCGGTAGAATTTTGCGCGGTTTTCAGTGCGCGGTGATGTCGCGCGCGGTTCGTGTTTTCGCGGTAGAGTCCGTGAACCGGCGGAAAGAAACCGAAAAGGTCTCTTGAAGACTTCACTTCCAACGCTTCCTAAAGCTAGAAAAAAATCCAGAAGGAAATTTTAACTGGGGATTCACCGAAATTGGAAGTTGACTTTTTCGAATTTCAGAAAAACAAAATACCTATTCTATCCGGTATAGAAGGCGAAAAGAAACCGAAAAGGTCTCTTGGCAAGTTTACGTCCAACGCCTCCTAAAGCTAGAAAAAATTCTAGAAGAAAATTTTCACTAGGGATTCTCCAAAGGGAAATAAGAGAGAAACAAGAAATAAATTACAACAAGATACATAAAGCCAAGGATATGGAGCCCTTAATTATTGGGGATTCTGTATGGGTGGTTGATGTAAGAAAATATGGGAAAGTCGTGGAAATCGGTCCAGAACAAAGGTCATATATTATTGAAACCAATGTTCGTAAATATAGACGAAATAGGTGGCATTTGATTCACGCTCCATTTTATTTTCCTAAATCAGGCATCCCTTCAGAGAACCATGATTATATCAATAATGGTATTATTCCTAGTGTAGCCCCGGTTATTCCCAGTTCGTTGGAGGGTGATGGTAATTTATCGTGCACAAATAGTGAAACGCGAAATAATGAAAACGCGAGTGTCACAGAGAATGCGTCTCCATCAGTGCCAATTGAAATAGAGGATGACAGTGCGCCAAACTTAGAAGATGCTTCCTCAAAAATAATGACACCAGGTAGGCCAAAAAGATTAGTTAAACAACCTGCTTACCTCAAGGATTTTGTTTCATAGTAGAGCCTAGTGATAGTTTATAATGTCAACTAGCTACTTAGGAAAGGAGGACCCGATATTCAACCCTATTAATTTAATTGCCGATTCGATCGGATGTTTATTGCAATTCAGCAATAAATTTATATAAATAGTGGGCCAAGCCGAGCAACAGAGAGACTTGAACAGTGTTAGTACCGCCACCCTGGGAACACCCCTCTGGAATCAAGTCTCTTCAATGCAAGTACCGCCACCCTGGGAAACTGTATCGTCATCTAGTGCAGGTACCGCCACCCTGGGAAATACCCTCTAGATGAGGATCAGTTAAACGACGATTAACATTCTACGTAACATTAGCATCAAACAGACATTCCTTCCTAAGTAGCGTCAGACGTGTGGCCCTTCCCACGGAAGAGCATGTATCCTGGAGGATTCATGACGTAATAACTTCTCAGCAAATATACACCTTTTTATATAAAGCTGCGCGAGTTTCTCTCCATCTGTCCACCACACCCCCCGTCACAGAGAGACTATGACAATAATATAGCAATAAGTGTTGACGACTGGTGAATAGGTGAATAATGTGAAGTTGCTTCCAAGGAAAGGGAAATGTGCTGTTAGGCTCTACTCTAGATTTATCCTATTGATCATAAAGGTATATAATCCAAGGTTCACATTCACCTGGAGGGTTTTGGTAATTAAGGTGAGGTTTTCTGGCAACTGGTAACGCGTCCGTTGACAGAAGTCAGAAAGCGTAATTGTGGGAGTCGAGAGTCTAGTAATATAGCTCATGCGGTTTTGTGCCCTTTTAAGTCACCCTACCCAGACCAAGCCCTGATGGTACCGATGATACGACAGAAACCAAAAAGGTCTCTTGGCAGCTTTACGTCCAAGGCTTCTGAAGCTAGAAAAATTACATAGTGATAAAATAACATTGTTATTTTTTATAAAAGGATTGTCATTCAACAGTTCAGTTTTAAATGTTTTTTTAACTCAAAAAATCCGTCGTTTTGTTATTATTGAGTAAAAACCAAACAGTTCAGATAATGGAAGAAAAGCTAACTTTGACAAGCCGCCATTCCGGCAGGGTAAATAATAGCAACTCAAACCTTCGGGGATATAATCTTAATAAAAATAGCTATCAAATGACTTATCACTCGACCCTCCTTTCCATTTGCAATTTTGGAGTTAGGTACATGTCACCCGTCCCACTTAGGGGTTGACAGGTTGGGGGTGAAAATGTGTCCCCCAAAAAACAAAAATTGACATGTCTCAGCAATATTTGATTAAGTACTCAACACCTGAGAAAACCTGGATAGGAAGTTTTTCATGCCCCACCCTGTATGAAAAGTGTTAAAAATTACGATTATTGGTAATTATAATAGAAGAATAAATAATTATTGTTTTGTCTATAAATAGAACTTTTGTATTACACAAAAATTGTTATACATTTATTCTATAGACTTTAATAAAAAATAAAATAAATGCGCACGTACTTACCTCTCAATAAGACATCCAAATCATCCAAACTATTATCCATTGTTTCAACTGTCATTTGAACAGTTATTAATATTCATAACTCGATAAAACACTATTATCCAAATTAAAAAGTTATTTACCGACCGATTTGCGTTTGTCCCGATTGTGAATGCACCTGTATTAACTCCAGTTTCAAGAAAATCCTCCCCTGCTGAGTATCGGTATTTTCGTCGTTTGCGCCTATAGATGTTTGTTTTTAATTGAGAGCAATGGAATGAATTAACTAGTTGAGTTAATTTTTATAGGTTGCATGCTACGGTCAAGGCACACCTTCCGTAATTCACTTAGCCTTTGTTATAGCAATATTTTTTTGCTTATCGATAAAATTTGGTTTTCAAATGATTTGGTTGACGAAATTCAAGTTTTGTTTTTATTTTTGTGAAACGGATGAATCGCGACCAAGTAAAGTACCTACCTATCTAAATAGGTATCGAATATAGAAATATTATAAAACCTCCACAATTCCCACACTACTAGAAAGGGTGCTGATGAAGTTTAGAATAATGGGTTTTCAGGTAAAAGTATCACCCAAGCAGAAAACTTTCCAACAATTTTACTTTATTTTTGTATAAGCAATGTTTCTTCTTTATTCTTTCTTCTTTGTCCGATCCCTAGATACTTCGTTTCTTTTGATAGTTCTAGGGTTTTTCCAGTCGGCATTGTAAATCTAGCGATTTTGTATTTTCTTGTGAACAAGACTTGCTTGGTTTTTTGAGGGTTTATTCCCAATCCGTTCTGTTCTGCTCATCTGGCGAGTTCCTTTAATGCTGATTCCATGATTTCACTAATGGTTGATAAGCTGAAGTCTTTCACTAGTACTACTCTACGTCGTCAGCATACGCAATCAATTTTATCCTCCTTTTAATAAAAGTTTTTAGAATGATATTGATCACCAACAGCCATAAAGGTGGAAATATTACTCATCCTTGTGGAGTCCCTGTGGTTGTTCTTTTCCTTATGGTATACCTATAGTCACCAATTTCTGAATTAATGATTCTGCGTTTGAGCATTTTTGTTATCCATTGTTGGATGACTGGTGCTCCATAGATTTTCAATGGACTCAATCATTACATTATTGAATGCACCCTCTATCTATGTATTCCTTATTTTCAAGTCGTCTTTCAATTGTTCCAACTAAGTACTTCATGCAGTGCACTTTCAACTAATTTTCCTTTTAGGTATGCATGTTGGTCTAGGCATTGCGTGTTTATTCCCATTAATGTGTAGATTAATCAGCTTCTCTGGAGTCTTTATCTTGCCAATTATTTTACTAAAATACCTATCGAGCTCGAATTATTGCAACAATGATTGTCTAACTTTTTACGAACAACAACTTTTATTGAACTAATTACTAAATCTTATTTTTGGAAAAAAAATTACATATTAAAAAATCGAAGTTTTAAACTGGCGCGAAAACGCGAAACTGGTTTGTGACGTCAAAAACCAGAAAATCAACAAAAATGCGAGAATGCCAAATTTCTCATTAGTAAATCATTACACATTTCACAAGCTAGAAACTATTTTCATCCTTTACTACATTATAGAAAAATAAAGAATAGGTATAATGGTTATAAACTGATTTAAATTTCGCATTTCTAAATGTAGCAACAAGCACGTCAAAATCGGCTTTAGCCAATCAGAGGGCGTTTTCAATCACGTGATTTTTTGTTTAAATTTTTAATTTTTATTTATTAATTTTTTTATTAATCTGACTAAAATCTTGCAAAATATTGTTCATTCTCGGTTGCATTGATGTATCTGGCGTTAAAAAATATCATAATTTGCCATACCTATTCCCGGCACGTGAAAGTGGCTCATTTTCACGCAAACACTCCTCAAGCAATGTAATTTGATCTTAACATAATAAACAGACCTAATAGGACAGCTAAGAAAATTGTTTAGCATAAATGTTTGTATGCAGTGTCTCTTGCCAAGTTCATAATTGAAAACATGCTTTATTTATCAATGAAAAAACATCCAAGTAAGCTAAACTATAACGTAGAATAAGCTAACTTGAAATTATAGCATTTTAACACAACTAAAAACAATATCAAACATCAGGCTCTATATCTTTGTTGTAATTGTTTGTATTGTAATTCAGATTTTTCAAATGTACCTAATTCAGAAAACCTCACTTGTATTTTAGATTTTTTTAATGTAGGTAATTCAGAAAATTTTATTTGTAATTATTCAGAAAATCCCAATTGTAAATCATATAACATCAGATGTAATTCAGATAACAGTTATAATTCTAGGTCCAATATTTTGTGGGATATGGTCTGCTCTGGTGCTCAGCATCAGATGGCTAGCGGGTTTCTGAACCGTGAACAAAGGGATGTTTAATTACATTGTTATATAAATTTTAAACCAACCAAATTTTCATGAATTTCAATCGATACTTTCTGAATTACAAATGAAATTTTCTGAATTACAAATGGGTTTTCCTGAATTACATATTACATTTGAAAAAGATGTAAAAACTACACAATACAAACTAACAAACATCCTCGGCTTCTCTGTTGTTCAATAAATGATGTGCGATGTTTTCTGTAGGTACAATAATATTTTTTCTGTAGGTAAAATAATAATAAAATAATAAATAGAACACAAACTAGAGGTAACTACAGAGTATTATGATATTGTTACGGCTCTGACGTACGTGACAGAATTTTTGGGTCCGTTTATTCAAAAATCAGATTCCAGTCAACACAACAATAATTTATTCCACGTTACTATAACATTCTGATACTAATTACTTCACTAATTACCTCAATCAACCTAACTCTTACAATATTCGCTATATAAAACATATAACAGTCAATCTTAAACTAAAAACCACTAACTAATCCTGGCCTTTATATATCCGTAATCCATTTCTGTAAAATCCAGAAGAACGCAATAGTCCCTTTTCCCGAATAACGCAGTACGTTCTAGAATTCAGGTATTAGATTCTGTGCGCCCTGGCGGAAGCGCCATATACCGTAACAATATGTAGAAGGAAAGTTGATAAGTATCACAGTAACCTAATTCCTAGCTTCTGTACAGCACAGCTCTGTTTTGAAGAAGAAAAACTGGATTCAGCAATCTCCGATTTGATTTCTCCAGAAGCAAATACCTTCCTACTGTTTCTGAGATTTTAGTTGATATGTGCAAATTTAAAAAATAAAATATTTTAAAACTTTTGCGTCGAAATGTTTTATTATTCCTTTTAGGCAGATGCGATTGAAGATATAAAGGTGGCCTATGATTTCTCTTTACCATAACACGACCGGATTCATCAGTAGGTTTCACTGTAGATAAAGCTGGAGGATTTTCATTGTGAGATTGTTCAGAATTTTGGGGAAGGGAACGATTAGAATCATTTATAGGTAACGGAGATGATAAACGGTTCTGAACTGACTGATCTAAGGTTTTCTTTAGGAATAGTTAATTCATTAAACTCTTGTTCGGGCAGTTTTATGGCATTTTGATCTTGTTCTGGTAGTGTCACCTCATTTTGATTTTGATCTGTCAGAGCTGGCAGTGTCACATCTCCCCTTGGTGCTGAATGACGAGTTGGAACAGTTATTTCTCTTCCATTTAATAGGCGTACATGAGCATAATCTGAATTTGCTTCCAGAAGATCAACTTATTCTTCTACTAGTGGATCATTTTGTCACAACCCCTATACGTTTCGTCCTGGGACGTCACAACAGGAGCGTGACCTGTGGGCGTAGGTGGGGTTCAGGTAGAGAGAAACACGCTTGATATAGGTATAATAAGTATGTATTGAATAATAATAGTATTACCCTAGAAATGGTATCATGACGTCCCTTCTATGGAGGGACGTACTTCTTATGGGCCACTCTGTTAATTATATAGCCTCTGTACACTTGGCGTGACTGAAGACTGAACTTGGCTTTGAGACAGGTCCAAAAGGGCGTTTCCCATTAAAGGTAGTTTGCACTGGGAGGAGACTTAGCTAGAGGGTCTTTTCCGATTTGAAGTACTTTGCACTAGCCTTAGTCTACCGGTAATGGATTTCGGCGCGGTATTTATATAAATACCGACTCGTCGATAAACTTTAGTAAAATTGATGTACGGAGTGGTATTTACTTAAATAGTTGACAATATTATTTGCTATGTCTAACATGTTTCTTGAGAAAAACTGGTCCTGGAGTGCTCAACCATGTAGGCATTGGGGTTCTATTAGTCCATCTTCTAGGATGGCTAAACATGCGTTCATGAGGTGTAGAATTAGTTGCAATACACAAAAGAGATCTTATTGAATGTAGAGATTCTGATAATACATCTTGCCATTGTTTTACGTCGAGGTTTCTAGATTCAATCTTGAATAGCGTTCCAAATTGTTCCATTAAATCTTTCACATTGTCCACATATGACATATCTGAACATGGAAATTCAAACGGAAATCTTGAGTATTCATCTACAATGTCTAATAAATATTTGTTGTGATTATTGGAAGGCAATGGTCCCTTGAAGTCAATATTTAATCTTTCAAATGGTGCTATGATATGCGGATATAACTCTTTTGATGACTTCTAGTGCATAAGGTAAATTTTTTCATCTAATCCAATGATAGAATCTTGTGACACCAGGATGATACGTGTTTTGTAATTTATACAAATTTTTCTCTGATGTTGATGGTTGAATAGCAGCTGATATCCTGGAAAGTGTGTCAGTGTGTATTATTTTCTCATTCTTGATTTTTGATAAACTCTATATTGTCAAACATAAATGCAATGGATCTTTGATCAGTAATTATACTAAAATGTCGTCCCATTAAATAATGCCTCCATTTTCTTATAGCTTCTATTATTGCGTATGCTTCTTTCTCTATAATGGAATGATTTTGTTCTATTTTTGTTAAGGTTCTTGGGAAAAATGCGACTGGTTTACCATTTTGTGTCAGTTGAGCACCGATAGCAAAATCAGAAGCATCTGTTTCCACTATAAATGGAACCTTTTCATCGACGAACGTTACAACAGCATCAATAATATCTTGTTTCAGCCTTTCGAATGCTTGAATTTGTTCTCTATTCATAGGAAAACTTTTCACGTTTATGATGGGATGTATCTTTGCAGAAAATTTGTATATAAATTTTGAGTAGGTACCTAGTATGCGAACATAGCTTGTACTCTTCTGAGAGAAGCAACATCTTTAGGGGCTGTTATTGATTAGGGGTTGTACCCTATCTGCATCAGGTTTTATGGGTTTTCCTTCTATTTTATATCCCAGAATATTGATGGTTGACATTGAAAATTTAAATTTTTGATCGTTTAGTGTTAATATTATATTTTCTTGTAATATTCATAAATTTTTGTAAGTTTTTGTCATGTTCGTCCAAAAATGCATATGTTATGGATAGTCTTTCATTATGTACGATATTGTTAATTATACGTTGAAAGCAGGCTACTCCATTTGCCCAAGTTGTTACATGCTTCAAAGCCAGTATAAATTCACTCACTTTCCAAAATATAGGTATTTGATGCAGGCCCGAATTGGGCCGGCGAGTTCGGTGGGCCGGTCACTTCGGTGGGCCGTTCAACTTCGGGTTCGGACTTCGGTGTATACCACTCACTCCACATTAATAATATTTTGAGATATGAATTAAATTTTCCTTGTAAAAGTCTATATTTTTGCATAAATGGAATTTCTTAAGGACATTCAGGACATTGCCAAAAGAACGCGTGACCTTGAAATTTTTCAAAATTTTCACCTGAAGCACTATTAGGAAACCACAAGTTATAGATCTCCCACTGGGTGGGCCGATATAATAACTCCAACTCGGGCCGAAAAAATTTCCCAATCCGGCCCTGATTTGATGGTACGCACTATGTAAGTCTATGGAACTGGAATATTCATATTGTGAAACTTGACTGATGATTTTATCAATATTAGGTAGTGGATATGCATCTAATAAAGTGAACTTGTTGATTGTCAACGAATAATCAACAACCATACGTTTCTTATGATTTGAGTTGCTTGTTACTGAAACTTCTGCTCTCCATGGTAAATTACTTGGTTCAATGATGTTTTCTTTCAATAATCTTTGTATTTCTGTTTCTATAAATTTGTAGTCATCATTAGAAAACTGTCAGAATTTAATAGCAATAGGCTGGCAATTTTCTGTTAAATTTGCAAACAGCGGATAAGGTCGAATATTTGCAGTTACTAGATTACAGATAAAAAGTTTTGATTGATTTCCGCCAAAACTGAATTCTACTCCTGAATGATTTTGAAGAATATCATGTTCAATTATAACATCAGAACAAAGATTTTCTAAGACATACATCCTGATATTTTTGTACACATGATCTGATATTTTTGTAATCACAATACATTACCCACAAACAGGGGAATTTAAAGATGAAGCAGACATTGTGGCATTTAGATTCGTAGGAAACACTTTGATGTCTTTGTGTGGTTATAGTTTTTGAGATATACCTAATCTGAGCTTCCATTATCAATTAGTGCATCAGTTGGAATATGATTGACTTCAATTTTAATAATAGCTTTCGATAAGCAAGATGTGGAGGCAGCTGACATCATTCCAATCATGGCAGCTAAAGTTTTATTTGAATCACGAGATTGTTTTTGATTTTTTGATCTACATAGTTGTGTGAATAATGATCAATCTTTCCATAGGAATGACTACAGATTGCATCTCTTACTAGATATCTATCTCTAGAGTGTCTGTTTCTCCCACAAAAATAACATTTTGAAGTAATTACGGCAAGTGTTGTATTCTTTCGTTCATTTGATTGTTGAACATAAGTCGATGCCTAATGTGAGATGTGGCGAGACCACGAATAAATGAATCTCTTGTAGCCATTTCATTCTGTCTTTACTTAATTGTATCAAAATTTGTAAGTACTGGTCACTAACTTGCTGTTTTCTAGTGGATAAAGTCTGACGGGCAAAAATTTCACTTCGTGTTTTTACACATAACTTTTTGAGTATGGCAACTGCTTCTATGTAGAAAATACATTCACTAAAAGACTGATAAGCTGAAGAACTCACAAAGTTTACTAAAAGATTTAATTTGTCCTTGTCTTCTGAAATTTTCACAGCTTCTAAAAAGTACACAAACTTTCGTATCCGATGGATCCATAACTGGCTAGCGTTTCTTAAATGTGTGTCAATTTCTAATCGATCTGGCTTCAGTCCATTGGTCAATTTAGCTTATCAAATTGTTGTAAAAGACTTTCAGAATTAAAGCTTTAATAAGCTAAAATTCAGTAGAGATTATTTTGACAATAACTGCCAACATGACATATAATATGACAGGTAAATATATAGGAAACACAGTAAATAAGGTAATGAAATATTCAACACTAGGAAACAAGATCATTATGTTCTTGGCATAGGTAAAGACTTTGAGTCTGAGCAATAATTGAAGGGGTGAAGCTGCATGCTTGCTGAATTGGTAAGCAAAGGGTTGGGTGGAAACTTAATAGCAAATTTGGCAGATTCCTAGGAAAAAATACAAAATAAAACAGCAAACATTTTAAACTTTTGATATTTATTATCCATACAAAAAAGAAAACAATAATATTAATAATAAAATTCACATCTTCACAATAATTTCATATCACATTATCAGACGTTCCACGCATTCGCTCCCATTCAAATCATCTAACTAGTAGCCTAATAAATCAATTTAAGTATATAATTTAAGAGAATATTTTATAAATTAACATCTTAATCCTACTTAGGGTCCAAGTTAATAAAATAATTACCAATAAAATTAAAAAATTTCAGGTGGAAACGTACATCAAGAATACATTAATGTACTTGTATAATGTCATAGAATTAATTTTTTTTTCTCAGAGCCTTACTCTGATATTTAACATCATTTTCACTATTGCATGTATTTACATAATTATATTAGTTAATTTTCTCATCAATTCTGACAAATCTATTTTTGTGCTGTTTAACACTCCTAATTCCAGTTGAAATCTTAAAAAAGAGTGCATTTGAATAAGTTGAATAAATAATAATAAAATCACTGGTGCTTCTTGAGTAATTATTTTAAAAATTCAATAAAGCCTTCGTAAAATTGTCCCAATATTTCCCATTTATAGAATGTAATGTAGTTATCTTATTATATTCAGCACTTATGGCCGGTATTATAAAACACTGAACCGATCGTTGAGTTTCAACCTTCGGTTGACTCCATGCAAATTGATAGGATTCAACCGAAGGTTGAAACTCAATCATCGGTTCAGTGTTTTATAATACCAGCCCTTATTGTACTAGAACTAAACTGCGTTTTGGGATTTTTGCAAGATAAAATTTTTGTGTATTGAATTGATGGAGCTAATTGAAATACAATAACTGGTCTAGTGGTCAAGTTTTTAATCAAACTTCAAAAATATGCGACCAAATTAATTGAATAAAAAAATATTTCAGCTGCCCACACGTATTCTCGTTATCCCATTCACCATAATGTTTTAATATAATGTGCATTTATTTACAATTATTGGAATTATTGTGAATATTTTAGAGCTTTTCTTGTACATTGCTTGATGCTTTTTATTTATTTATCCACTCTGCAGCTAATAATTCACTGGTCATAAGCTTAAAACCTCTAAGGGCGAGTATTATTAGAAAACTATTTTGACATAAAACTTAAAGTTAACTTCTGGAATTTCATAGTAATTCCAGAAGTTAACTTCTAGTTCACTCTCAAAATAGTTTTATAATACCCAGCCTAAATGTTTAAATCAAGATTAAGAAAAAGTGATAAAAAATCTCTAACAATTATAGACTAAATTATAATACTGATCGATACTTAACTTAAGTAAACTGAAATTATTCAAGAGTTATAAAAGTAAGGAGCATACAGATCATTGTTGAAACAGTTGGAGTTCTCAATATGTTGCAATTATTTATTGCAATGCAATACATCGATTAATAAAATAATACAAACATTCCACTATCAAAAAGAAAAATTCATTTAAGCCATTATAAATATTAGAAAACAAAAATATTAAAAAAATTTGTACAACTATATATACAAAGTATATACATACATTTTCTTGTACGTACCGTAAATGATTTTTAATTATTTCAAATAATGAAAAAATCATTGATCAGTTTTATCTACAATTACATTTATAAGATTATCCCAAACTATTTCACAAATCTCTGTATACACCCACTATCTGGATTTGTCAGAATGATAATATGTAGCTAAAAAAAAAAATGTTGAATCATGCCATAGACACTACAATCATAATAGTAACACTGGTATTTTCAAAGAACTGCATAAATACCTTAATATTAGAATTATTAAGTGTTCAATGAAAACTTGTTTGTATTAGGTTCTAGCATTTGAAAATCCAGATTTTTTTTTTGTAGAGATGTCAAATTTCTAAACATTGGTAGGTACCTATTTCATCTAAAAAAAAAATATGTACAACAATTTTCTATTGTATCATCTAAGAAATTAATTGTACAAAATGTTTTGTATGGGATATATTTATTTCAGAAGAACCAAAGATCATGAAACATCAAGCCAGTATTATTATACATTGATTGAAATAAATTGAATCCCATTGCAAAAATTGAAAGGAGAGACTTCTAAATTAAAATATTTATGGGCTATCCTAACCGAAAATAATTATTATCATGCAGGCAGCTGATACATTTTTTTGTCAGTACTAGAACAAAAATTCAAGTGAAAATTTGTCAGATATATGAAGATGAAGGATTATTTGACAATTTTCTTGTTTTAGGATAAGGCAAGGTCCTTGTCTAATATAAATAATAATTCCTCATTGTTCAATACAATAAACAAGTTGATTTAGTGAAGGAACCTCTAATAGCTACTTTGGGAGTTAGATAGTATCTTTTATCACTTATTTATTTCCACAAGAATTAATTAGAAGCAGTTGATAAACCAACCAACAAATAATTTATCGGTGAAAAAAAAAATTATGTGAACTATGCCTAGTCCTTTAAGGAAGTTGGAGGAAATGAACATATTTCACTGTTTTATTCTATTTCATAATTTACTTACAATGTGGTGTACAAGTTTTACGCTACTTTTTTGAGAGTAAAAATATTCCTGTTTTAATTTTTAAATAAAGACTTTTTGGATAATTGGACTAATCAAAGTAACTAAAATTTTTAAATTAACATTAAAAAACTTTTATAGGGCGAACAGTTATTACATGAAAAAGTGTAACTAAATCATTATTTTAAAGCTAAAAAATATTTTAGCACAGGTAAAATAATAAATGTGATGCAATGTAGGTAATAAAACAATGCGAATTCGAAATATACAAAATTTGATAAGAATTAAATGTCTCAAGAGCATGAGCAAAAAACCCTAAAAATGTTTACATTATGTTATGATAATGTAATAAAATAATTTATAGTAATGGCTGATGTGATGATCTATGTATTGGTAGAATCGATAAAGAAAGGCTAATTATTACCAAGTGAAAGTTGATGGCAAATAAGTATTTTTTGGAGAATATATATTTCACAATACAGGGAATTTGTTTTTGATTTTATTTTCATCTTCTTTCACTGAAAAATTAGCCAAAAATGTTGGATTTGCAATCAAAAGACATGTTCTATAGAGTCTAGAGTACTCCAAGTTAAGTTCGGTCCTGTCCTTGTCTAAGGTGTTAATAATATAATGTGTGGTTATGTTGTAAGGTTAGCCAGTTTTTTTTTTGTTTTTTTCTGTTGTTTAAGTAAGTCCACGTTTTGGCTGTAAAGTGGCTGTAATCATTTAACCAATTTAATGTCAAGCTGAGTTTAGTTTTCTTATATTAATCAATAAAACGTTGTTCAAAGTGTAGTAGTGTTTTTATTGATATTCACAAACTTATATTTGGTGCTTCCACTTTCAAAGAATCCATCAGGTTATGGGCCCAGAAACCAAATTGTGCTAAGTTTGGAATTAAGTAACTAAACTTTTGTTTTGTGTGGAAGATGGCCTCAAGCTCAGGAAATAATTGCGCCGTTGAAAAGTTTGGAATACATCAGTTTGATGGTAAAGACTATGACCATTGGAAATTCCGAATAGAAACTGTGCTTGATCACAATGGGGTTAAAATGTGTGTGGAACGGGCCATAGATCAAAACTCACAAGATGAAGTGAAGCTAGACAAGAGATGTAAAAACATTATTGTACAGTGCGTCGCCAATTCGCACTTGGAGTACATAAAAGATAAGCCAACGTCTCGTGATATGTGGCTGGCACTTGAGAAAGTGTTTCACCGGAAGGGCATTGCAAGCCAGCTCTACTTAAGAAGAAAATTGCTAACAATGAAGTTAGAAAAAGGTGAGACACTGGAAAACCATTTTATAAAATTTGAGGAAACTGTGAGGGAGTTAAAATCAGTAGGAGCAACACTTGAAGAAACAGATATAGTGTGCCATTTGCTTTTATCGTTACCCCCCAGCTATGATAATATTGTCACTGCCCTAGAAACTTTGGAACAAGATAAACTAACATTGGAATTTGTCAAAGGCAAACTTTTAGATCAAGAAATGAAAAAGAAAAGTATAAATAACCTACAAAGAGAAGATCCATCTTCTGTGGCAGCATTTAGTGGGTTTAATAACAGCAACAAAAAATGGAATAAATTTAATAACCAGAAAAATCCACATGCTAGTGGTGAACAAAAAAAGAAGTATAGTTGTCATCATTGTGGAAAAAAAGGCCATTTTAGAAAACAGTGTTTGTTATTAAATCAAGGTGAAGCCAGAAAGCAAGCAAATGAAGCCTCAACCGAAAATCAAAAAGATGAGCACATTGCCTTCATAGCAACCGCAGGAATAGCCTTGAATTGTGTTCCAGATATGCCATTCCAAAATAACAAAATCAAGTTTGTTGTTGACTCAGGAGCAACAGACCATATGATCAATCAGGATGGATACTTTTGCAAGGTAAAAGATTTAGAAGGGGAACTTCAGATTGCTGTTGCTAAGAATAATGAATCGCTGAGTGCTACCAAGGTAGGAGTAGTTAATGTAAAATTAGTTGGGCAAAGAATAACTTCAGGTGAGATTAAAGATGTGCTGTATGTAAAAAATTTGCGCCAGAATTTATTGTCTGTCCAAAAACTAGAAAATTCAGGTTTAAAAGTAATTTTTGAAAATAATACGGTTTGCATTTTTAGTAATTCTGATTTGATAGCCAAAGGAATAAAAGAAAATAGGTTATATGTTGTTGAATTTGATGTACTATATGAAATTAATAGAGAAGTTAATATATGTGAAAAGGAAAAGAATTTTAAACTATGGCATGCTAGGTTAGGGCACATCGGAAATAAAAATTTTGAGAAACTTATTAAGAATAACATGGTAGAGAATTTAAATGTAAATTTTGAAAACAGAGAAAATGAAATTTGTGCAATTTGCACACAATCAAAAATTACTCGTTTACCATTTGAAAAACCATCGAGAAAAGTAACGAAACGACCCCTAGAAATCATACATAGTGATATATGTGGGCCAATAACTCCTAGTACACATGACAACAAAAAATATTTTGTTACCTTTCTTGATGATTTTACACATTTTACTGTCATTTATCTAATAGCAAATAAAAGTGACACATATAATTGTTTCAAAGAATATGAAGCATTTATGACAAATTTAACTGGATACAGGATTGGGTCAATCCAGTGTGATAATGGGAGTGAATATTGCTCCAATGATTTTACTGGTTTTTGCAAGGCCAAAGGTATAAGATTTCGTTATTCAGTACCCTATAACCCTGAAATGAATGGCTCTGCCGAACGTTTAAATAGGACAATATTAGAAAAAGGTAGGGCTTTGTTGCTACATTCGAGATTGCCTAAAAATATGTGGGGAGAGTCAGTACTTTGTGCTGTTTATCTGATCAATAGGTCCCCTACAGCTTCTTTAGAAAATGTCACACCTGCTGAGTTAATTTATAAAACAAAACCTGATTTGAAAAACTTGCGAATTTTTGGCAGCTTAGCATATTGCCATGTTCCAAAAGAAAAGTTAAAGTCAAAATTTGATTCAAAAGGAGACATTAATATTATGATAGGATATTCAAGTAATGGTTATCGAGTCTGGGATATTTTTAAGCAAAAAGTGTGTGTTGTTCGAAATGTAGTGTTTGATGAGTCAAGGAATATAAGCAATCTAAAACTTAGTAGTACTCTTGTTAATATTGAAGGTTCAGATATTGAAGTTAGGAATGATTTTCAAGGTGATTTAAATGAAAACAAAATGTTAGGAACTAATATCAATGAAATAGAGCAAGAAAAAATAAATATTTTTGAAAACAATCATTTTAATGAGTCAAATATTGAAAATGATGTTAGGAAAAGTAATAGAGTAAAGAAAACACCGGCTTATTATAATGATTATGTCATGGAAGGTGATTTAGAGCACATGGCTTTAAACGCATCTAGTTTTGTAGATAGGGTTCCAGAAAGCTTAGAAAAAGCTAAAGAATCTGCTGAATATAAATTTTGGAAAAATGCTGTAGATGAAGAAATTAGAGCTTTAATAAAAAATAATACTTGGTCTCTCGTTGAAAAACCGGACAATGTTAGGACTATTGGTTGTAAATGGGTATTTCGAATAAAGTCTAATGATAGGGGTGAATCATTAAAATATAAGGCTAGGCTAGTAGCTAAGGGATTTATGCAAAAGGAGGGATTCGACTTTCACGAAACCTATGCTCCAGTCGCAAGGCTGAGCACAGTTAGAACTTTTTTGGCAGTAGCGCATTCTAAAAACTATGAAATACAACAAATGGATGTCAAATCCGCCTTTTTGCATGGTACAATTAATGAAAACATATACATGTCAATCCCTGAAGGTTTTGAAGATAACGGAAAGGTATGTAAGTTGAATAAGGCGCTGTATGGGCTTAAACAAGCGCCCTACTATTGGAACAAAAGATTTAACGAATTTGCCAAAAAGGAAAATTTTATCAGGTCAAATAATGATCCATGTTTTTATATAAAACACTTGGAAAATAGTACAATATACATGTTACTCTATGTTGACGACATTTTGCTGTCTAGCAATGACTATTCTGAAACTAATAAACTTAAAGTTAAATTAAAATTAGAATTTGAAATGCAAGATTTTGGAAGATTAAAGTCATTTTTGGGTATCGACATATCATATTCTAACAATTTTCTTTATCTTAGTCAAAAGCAATATATCATTAACTTGCTAGACCGCTTTAACATGAGTAATTGTAATCCGATAAGCACCCCCTTAAGTGCAGATTATTTAAAAATGGATAACACATCTCAAACTGAGGAATTTAAAAACAAACCTATTAGGGAACTCGTGGGATGTTTAATGTACTTAATGCTGGCTACACGTCCAGATTTAAGTATTTCAGTCAATTTGTGCAGTAGGTTTCAGAGTAAACCAAATGAAGAATTATGGAAAAATCTTAAAAGAATTTTAAGGTATCTTAAGGGAACTGTTGATACAAAATTATGTTTTTCGTTAAACTCTGATGTCAAGCTTGTTGGATATGCGGACGCAGATTTTGGTGGAGATCAAACCGACAGAAAATCGACAAGTGGGTACTTATTTCAGGTTTTTGGTTGTACAGTAGTTTGGTCAACTCAAAAACAAAGTACAGTTGCAACCTCTTCCACAGAAGCAGAATATGTCTCTCTTGCAGAGGCTGCTAAAGAAGGCATTTGGTTGTCAAATATACTTTGTGACTTTGGTTTTGAGAAAACCAGTTTTGTCATATTTGAGGACAACCAATCCTGTATCAAGTTGACAAGGAGGTTTGATCACAGAAAATTAAAGCACATTGATATCAAATACAATTTCATTAAAGATTTGGTCAATAGTAGTACTGTAGTTGTAGAGTACAAACCAACTGGTGAACAAATCGCCGACATTCTAACCAAGAATTTAACTGGTGATTTGTTTGCTAAACATAAAATAGGATTAGGATTGATATCTGTATTGTAAAAACTTATAAAATATATATCTTTTGATTGAGAAGGGGTGTTGGATTTGCAATCAAAAGACATGTTCTATAGAGTCTAGAGTACTCCAAGTTAAGTTCGGTCCTGTCCTTGTCTAAGGTGTTAATAATATAATGTGTGGTTATGTTGTAAGGTTAGCCAGTTTTTTTTTGTTTTTTTCTGTTGTTTAAGTAAGTCCACGTTTTGGCTGTAAAGTGGCTGTAATCATTTAACCAATTTAATGTCAAGCTGAGTTTAGTTTTCTTATATTAATCAATAAAACGTTGTTCAAAGTGTAGTAGTGTTTTTATTGATATTCACAAACTTATATTTGGTGCTTCCACTTTCAAAGAATCCATCAAAAAATCTATCGCATTTTATTTTCGAACTTCTACTATACTTAACATCAATCAGTGTATTTCTGTATCACATTTATAACAGATATCTATTAGACAGTTTAATTCTAATAAAATTCTGTTCTTATGCTATTACAATTGTAAAAAAAATGCCAATAAATCACTTAACAATCTACTAATGTCGGATTTTTATTAGACAACCAAAATATACATATATTTTACGGTTTGCAATATATACAGATTAAACAAAAAACATAAATTATAGCCAGTTATACATACATTTTGACTTAGTAGATAAAAGTAGAATTGTGGAAAATCTTTTCTTGGTTTCTTATTTGTTTGCTCTTTTTATACTTATTTTTCAATATTTATTCCGTTTTTTAGATTTTAGTCACTTGGAAACCGGAACTTCAAGTCCCGAGTTGCATAAGAGTATTTTTAGATTACCTTTGGGCAGTTGCTCCAACCTAATATTATGCGAAAACCATTCAAGAACTGCAAATTTCTTATTGATTGTTTACTACAAAAGTTAAAGGTACTTTCATAATTTTACAAAATGTAAATTATTAAAAGTTCAAATACATAATGATTTTTTTTTGGCACCAGTGGGATTAAAACTGAATAAATTCTAGAGTCAAAAGCTATTGACCTGGCAAAATAGCTATTCATGCACTAAATGTGAAGATTGGAGCACGAGCGAAGCGAGTGGTCCATCACATTGTGTGCAAAAACAGGGAACGCACTCTTAATCCCATTTCAACACTCAGTGATGAAATGAGATCTCATTTTAACACTGTATTAGAACACACTGCTCATTTTGGCATTTGTGTTAAAATGAACCACTTTTGACAACTAAAATCAATGTCAAAAAGATGACATTTCGTAACTAAATTACAAAAAAATTATAGGATCTGCTGGGGAGATTTCGCCAATGAAGTGCTGACTTTTTTTCACAAATCATTTTATTACCTGTGAAAAAAACAATTTTTAATTTTTCTTGAATAAAAGTTTTTCATTGTTGTTTTTAACCCACCTACAGCCAGGCATGTACGTATTATCTTAAAACTTATTAGTGAAGATTAGCACACCAATCAATAAGGAACAAAAGCATTTTTTTTTTTTTTTTTTATTTAGATAAGATTTAAAAAATTTGATTCTGGCAGGAATTTTGTACTTCTGCCATAAAATGAACAGGTTTTGGGAAACTGAACATAGAACAATTGAATCGAATTAAAAATAAACAAAACGAAAGAAGAAAAGATATCCCAAGAAGGTTAAAATAGAATTCAACATCTCTATATGTTCTAGAATGATGTAGTAAGAACTGTTACGAGACTCAACTGACTGGGTGGCCGTGATTGCAACGTACATCAGTGGGTGGTCCAGCCCGCCTAGGCTGGTGGACAAAATGTGAGTGTAATAAATCAGGATGAAGGAACTTGACATGTGCGATGTGTCCTGTGGTCCCTGTTCTGGAATCACAGGAATATCTGGAAACAAATAGAAGAGTGATGACTAGTGGCGCAGCCCGAAGAGTTGGCGACTTTTGCTGAACACACCACCGCCCGTGTTAGTAGGTTAGGTCAAGGGAAGAGGCATAGTCCACCAGCCTATTGAGGGCCAGCCGAGGTGAGTTATTGCATGAAATACTCAGGGTGATCCGAGTCTTTCTCAAACCTCTTGGCCTCTTCTTGCATGCTCTCTTTTATTTTCAAAATAGCAGCCGATTCCGTTTGGTCCTGGAAGGAAAGCGACCTTTAGTGGTTAAGGGTCAGTCTACTAAGCGCAAGCACCAGCACCATTTTTTTACACATTCGACCTTTTTCAACTGTAAAATTGAGTTTTAAAAATAATACATTATTTGGAATGATTCAAAAAACAATTAAAGCTTCAAATAGCCGATTGAAATTCAATAAGTGAAATTCTTTGTGAGCCAACTTTTAATGAAATTGTTGAAAATTAGATACCTAGCAGAAAATTATAGTTTCTCATGTATTGTTTGTTTTATGAAACATACAGTAGTCTAGTTGAATAGACCGTATTGGAGAATATTGTTTTAGGAGCTATATGTAGGGACAAATTTATATTATGGCTTCTTGAATGGATGGATTTTTTACAAAAAGGAAAAATATGTTTGTATAAAAAAATCAAGCCGAAAGGTCAAATGTGTAATTTTCTAAAGGGTACTGAGAATGTAAAAAAAGCTTTTATACGATTTGTTCAAATCAATTGAATCATAGCAGCATTTCAAATTTTAAAAAAATACTACTAAGTATATACTAGCAAACAAAACTATCCTAATCTTGGAAATACAAAATGGGGAGTTTCCATTGAGAAAAAAAAAACTATAAAATTTACATTCCAGGATAGTTTCTTGTATCTACTTGCTAAATGATCTAATATAGATACTTTTCAAAATAAGCCCATGCTTGCATGCAGGCTTTGATTTACTTCTTTTGTACAAGAAATTGTCTACTGCACTAAATAACCTTCAAAAGCTTAAGTTGTGTTTTTCATTATTGCTACCTACTGGCTACTAGAACAACTGAAAATCAAGCAGTACTTTTCAACTAATAGTTTCTTAGTAATATCTCTATCTAAATAAATATTGTAAGCAATCTAAAGCTATTATTAGGTAGGTGTCCAGACATCAGTCTCAATGAATAACATTTTTTTCAAGAAGAGAAAGTCGTAAAAAGTTGCAAGGATGCTTTAAAAATAGCGGCTCATAAAAATTAGCGATTTAGTCGATGAGCCAAAAATATTTTGGCAAAAGTTATAGAAGCAATAATGTGAGTCAAATAAATAATGTAAAGGCATAGATTTAGGGAACCATAGCTATTCAATGAATATAGAAACAGTGCTTTAAGCCAGTTTAATTACTGCAACTAATTCTTTAGCTATGCTGGAAGCTTAGTTCAGGAACCTTCAGCTCTACATTAGGTATATCCAAAATAAAAGTGGATGATTACAATGCTAGCTTTAAGTAACAGCGGTACCTATAATAAGCATTTCAAGGATATAAAATAATGGGTGTAGGGATTTAAAGAGAAAAATAATAATAATTGAAATGTAGTCGCTTTCACACAAAACTACTTACATTTTCTCCAGGTCCTCCAAAGCCCCCTAAATTATAATCTCCCATTCCGCTTCCGCTATCCTCCCTCGGCGTTCCGGGGCCACCGTTAGCAGGCGAATTTTTCATTCCATCCATCCCATCACCATTCATTACTGGCCCCATCGAATTGGGTCCCATCGGACCCATGGGGCCTCCCGAGTCGGGCCCGCCGCCCATCTGGAAGTCGCCTGGCATATTGCCGCCCACTGCTGGTTTCATTAATGTGTACATGTTTTCGCCTCCTGAATTACTGGAATCCTGTGGGCTGGGCATAATCGGCGTTCCTGGACCAGCGGGTCCTGCTGATCCAGGAGGTCCTCCGTAGTTGCCCGGTGATGATGATGAATAGTTCATTGGCTAGAGAAAATTTAAAAGAAATATTACAAAAATGATTATTGGTATAGTTGAAAGAGTTTTTTTTCTGAGCTCGACATTAAGACCTAGTGGCGGCGCGCTTGGATGCACTGTGGGCCCTTAAGCAAATATCACAATTAGGCTCCTCTGGGTTTTATCAATGGCAAATTATTCAGCTAAAAGAGCCAATCAGAACCAGCAGAAGAAAAAATTTTGATTATTATCAACTCAAGAGCTGCTAATGAGTAATCGAAATTTTGATTATTATCGGCTCTTGAGTCTTGACTGCCTTGTTAGATATTAATTAATATGGACAGGTGATCCAGCTATTGGTTTCAATTGTTCTGAATCAAGCACATCTTCAAATTCTTCTATCAACTTTAGACGCAAGATTTCACATTGTTCACTGGTAGGATTTTCTGTGATATTTGGAATGTATTTTGTAAAGATTCGATAACGGTTTTCGAAAATTTTGATGTATTATCGTAAGTTTTATCATAGCTTTTCTATCCAGGAGTAACTCTGTAACATCATTACAAATATATACACGATTTTTTGTGAATAAATTTTCATAAAAAATGTTACAATCGACAAAACCAAAAACTTTTAGCTGTGTACCGTCTGCAGATTCCAGCTTTAAACTATCCTTGTAGGTATAAACTTGATCTGTCGATGGAAAGGGCAGTAATAAAATTTTTACCAGCAACACAGACTTCTGCTCCTGTGTTAGGGGCAGCTCTAAATTGTATTTTTTTTCATTTTTAAATTTTCAGTGAAAACTGTAACATCAATACATCTTTCACGATTATTTGGCAAATTTTCAACAGTATTGATTTCCAAGGTTCCAACTTTAGATTTATTGGCTTCTTCAGGCTTTTGTAGTTTTTTTGTACGGCAAAATAAAGTGAAATGCCCTCTAATAAGACATTTTTCACATACTGTGTTTCTAGCTGGACAATCTTTGAAATTTTTGTGCCAATTATTGTGACACCTTTTTTTAGAAACATCTTTTCTTAAATTTACTTTACTAATTTTTGAACCATTTTGTATTTATTCCAAATTTGCATTGTCTTCTAACTCACATATTTTTATCATTTCATCAATAGTGGTTGATTCGGGTAAAGTTCAACATCTTTTCCGTAAATCGGGATCACTCAGCGTCTCTATTGAATGGTCTACTACACAACATTCATAACAAGATTTACATGGATCGGTAAGTTGCAACAGCTTTACTTTTTTCCTATAAAATGACATGAACGTTTCACCTTCTTGTTGTTTTCTTGACATAAACTGAATTCTCATTCGTCCGTTTTTTGTTCTTATAATAACCTTCCAATTTATCAAGAACCATAGAAGCATTAAGATTTATTAGGTTGTCTAATTTTAAAACAAGTCTGACCACATCAGCGATTTCTTGGCAGAAAAATGAACCTAATAAAGCAATTACTTGTCGTTTTGTAGTTGGTCATAGTCCTTGAAAACTCAAATAATTTTCAAATTTTCTAGGCCAATCTACAAACTGTGCAAATGTAAAACTTTCTATTAATTTTTCCGGTTACGAAATAACTCCTGATAAGTGTATATTATTTTGGGCGTAACTAGTAGGAGCATTTATTTCAATAGCTTCAGCTACTTCTACATTCTCAACATACGTACTATCAGCTGGATAACCTAATGCTTTCAGTATTTCATTTTTGAAAGCGGTAATTTTTGATAAAAAGCTAGCTTCTATATTATTTATAGCTTCTTGTATTTTTTCTTCTAACATCCTAATTGCATCATTCGGTGCAGTAATGGAATTTTCAATAGGTTTTAGTTTGGTTTTCATCACGATTTCAGCTTCAGCAGGATCCAATTTTGTAGTTTTTTTTGAAGCCATCTTATCATCAAATGGTAACAGGAAAATCTTACAATAATATGGTATTCCTAAAACAGCCCAAGCTAACAACTGCGCCATGTAAGATAATAATTGAAATATATTATGCTTTATTACATCAATATTTATTTGACAATTAACTAATGACCTTAATCCCCGTCATCCTAATAACAGGTAATACTGTACAGGTCATAACAGCCCTTAGAAGTTGATAAAAGTTTAAATTTTGACTATTACCGACTCTTGATTGGCTCTAGGAAGGTTTTCCAAAGAATCAAAAGTCGGTAATAGTTCAAATTTTGATTATCTGTAGCTCTTGATCCATTGGATAGTTTTTCTTGGGCCAATTAGAAGCTGCGGAGAAGAAATTTTGATTAATATCAACTCAAAAGCTGCTAATGATCCTTAAAAATTTTGATTATTATCGGCTCTTGAGTGCCCTTAGAAAAATTCTCTTGCGAATCCAGAGTTGATAAAAGTTCAAATTTTGACTATTACTGGCTCTTGATTGGCTCTAGGAAGGTTTTCTAAAGAATCAAGAGCCGATAATAGTTCAAATTTTGATTATCTGTGGCTCTTGATCCATTGGATAATTTTTCTTCATTAATATTAACTTAAGAGCTGCTAATGATCATTCGAACTTTTGATTATTATCGGCTCTTGAGCTTTGAATGCCCTTAGAAAAATTCTCTAGCGAATCCAGAGTTGATAAAAGTTCAAATTTTGACTATTGGCGGCTCTTGATTGGCTCCAGGAAAGCTTTCCAGAGAATCAATAGCCGGTAATAGTTTAAATTTTGATTATCTGGGCCTCTTGATCCATTGGATAATTTTTTTCTGGGCCAATTAGAAGCTGCGGAAAAAGAAACTTTGATTAATATCAACTTAAAGGTGGTGTGACCCTAAAAGTCGCTACTTAAATCAAGAAAAAAAATCTAAGATCTCTCGTGAAAACCGCAGTCCTATATTCAAAATAGTCTCCGATAAAATTCCTTGTGAAGATAAATTATGCAGGAATTTGTGATGTCACAACCGCCCAAATCGCAGTATTCTGTTCGTTCAGTCGTCAGTGAACCGTACCCTATACTTTGAGTGGTTGTAATTCGCTCTAGGCGATAATTTTCTTCTGTTTCGGAAAATTTTGCATGTGTTAATACTGTCCCTGATAATCCAGTGTGACGTCACAAACGCCTAGTTGTAACTTTAAACCGCCCTAACTCGAAAACGGACCATCGTAGCAAGATGCGGTTTAAATATTTATTCTTAGATTTTTTTGCACTGAAACTTTAATTTTTGGGTCACACCCCCTTTAAGAGCTCCTAATGATCATTTGAAATTTTAATTATTATCAACTCTTGAGCTTTGAATGCGCTTAGAAAAATTCTCTTGCGAATCCAGAGTTGATGAAAGTTCAAGTTTTGACCATTAATGGCATTTGATTGGCTTTAGAAAGGTTTTCCAGAGAATCAAGAGCCAGTAATAGTTTAGAGGTCGATGCACACTTTAAATGAAATTTTAAAAATCCACGATTTTAATCAAATTTTGTTATGTCGTAGATCTCGATCTACTGATCAAAAGTTCTCGTGGGTCCAAGATGATCCTATGACTGGTTTCCGAAATACAGTGGTGGGTATAGGGCTACCCAAAAATCCGAGTAAATAGGAATTCTTTCACAAAAGGTAAACTTTAATACAAAAAGTGATAAAGACTACGATTATTTCACGCGTTGTATCCGGATACTAAATGAATTGGATCATTTTCACAAAAACCCTTTTTTCGATGAATCGCAATTATTAGGTTCACCCCCTTAAATCACCTTCAAAGTTATTTGCAAGTGTGTTTAGGTATCTTAAACGGTGTATATCGGTACTGCCTTCAACATCCTTACCATTTGTACCCGAGACTATAGGGTGGAAATGTCCATATTTTCACAAAAACTCTTTTTTCGATGAATCGCAATGATTAGTTTTACCCCCTTAAACCAGCCTAAAAGTTATTTGCAAGTCATAAATGAGGTCCCCTAAATGGTGAATATTTTTACTGCCTATAACTTCCAGTACCATTTGCGCCCGAGACTATAGGATGGAAATGTCCATATTTTCACAAAAACCCTTTTTTCGATGAATCGCAATTATTAGTTTTTTTATATCATATTTTCATATCGTTTTATTTTACGCTGTGACTAGAGTCCCTACTCGGGATCCATAATCAGTCCCGAATGACGTCATCAGTAGTTCTGTCGGGACTGGTGCTCCGCCCCGACGCGGAAATCTCAGGACCAGCGTACAGTCTCGATTTAAAACACTTAGCTGTTTTAAGGTTATAGTATAGCCATAAATCATGTACCTAATGTTGCTGATACCTATAGGTACATATATAGGGTGTCCCAAATTGCTGGCACCACTTGACCGAAACTGAAGCGAAAGTGGTGAAATTAGATGACACAGCTAGAAGTGGCAAAAAAAGCTACCCAGATTAGATCCTCAAAATTTCAATTATATTAGATGATGCGTTCCGAAGTTTAAGTTATCACTAAAGTCTATCTATCACCTGGGTAAAATGTCGCGGGACAGCCTGTATATAAATTAAAGGTGCTACGTGCTTTTTGAGGTGCTTTTATGTAAAAGGTGAGCATTTGTTTATAAACGTTAAATAGTGGTGAGGTGAGAATAAGTTTAGGTAGATAAACGAAAAACTAGAAATGTATCCGTGAGCATGCCTTTAATTTCTGAAGTTCGAGCTATCACTATTTCTCTTGAATTTAAAGGTTGGAATTTGGCAAAAAAGTTTATCATTATTATACTGATGTGAAAAATTTCATCAATCAATATGTTATGTAAACTACTCTATTTTCTGTGAAGTGTTTTTGAAACAAAATTTACGCTTTGGAAATATAACATTGTCTTATTTGTTTATTTGAATAATGGTTTTACGTAATGGAGGAATTACATATTATTGTGATTCTTGAGGGATTTAGGGACCACATGCGAGTCCCGATTCGGGACCTATTCCAGTCCCGGCAAAACTATTAATAACGTCATTTATTGATGTTATTCGGGATTGCTGTGTGGATCCCGAGTCGGGACTCTAGTCACAGCGTTTATTTTATTTCAGTTTAACTTGAACGTCCGATTTTTGTATAAAAAGTATGAATTAAATAGGAGGATTATATTTTTTGAGTACCCTCTGTAGATAGAAATTGTCTCCTGACATCTACCATGGCCAATAAAAATAGGATTCAATTAATTTTAACACTTTTTGTATTAAAGTTTACCTTTTGTGAAAGAATTTCTATTTACTCGGATTTATGGGTAGCCCCATACGCGCCACTGTTTTTCGGAAACCAGTCATAGGATCATCTTGGGCCCATGAGAACTTTTGATCAGAAGATAGAGATCTACAACATACCAAAATTTCATCAAAATCCTGGATTTTTTTAAATTCCATTTAAAATGTGCATCATCCTTTCGATTATCTTTGGCTTCTTTATCCATTGGATAATTTTTTTGGAGGAACTAAATACCGAATATCCATATTTGGATGCTGTGCTGTGTGTGTCTGATAGACAAAATAGAAAGATCATGCAGTCTATGTTGGTTATGGAATTTCTCAAGTAATTTTTCAATATTCTTAATTTACTTAAAGGGGGTGTGCGCCAAAAAAACAACTTCATCTCAAAAAAAAGAGAAAAAAAATCTAAGAATAACAGTGAAATCCGCACCCCTCTATGACAAATAATACCGCAGATATGGCTCTATGAAGGTACCGTATCTCACCCCATGACGTCACAAAAGCTCAAGCGACGCACGAGAAAGTGGATTTAATTAATTTTACATAATGTTTTTCCTGTGTTACCTGCAATAATCTAAACAAAAACCACTCACGCGTGCCGGGAACAATCAAATTAACAATGCAGAGCGCCGCTGGACGAAGTTTTCGTGACGTCACGAGAGCGTCGTCCACACTTTAAAGCGGTATATCTCATCAGCGATGATTTATCGTAGAATAACGAGGTTTGAACAGTTATTCTTAGATTTTTTTGCACTAAAACTTTAATTTTTGGCGCACACCCCCTTTAAATTACCTTTCAGCGGTGGCAACTGAAAGGAATGTACCAGTTAAGTATATCGATCGATATTGGTCATTATATTTCTCAATTCTATTTTAAAGCATTTTTCCCTTCCCCTTCTCGCCCGGGCCCCTAAGCATCGCTTATATCCGCTTATGCATATCGCCGCCAACAGTTAACAAAGTATGATTGATTACTTACTGTCGACGTATTAGGTTGCCATTGCGGTCGTCCTCCAGGTCCTCCCATAGTCATTGGAGGCATTGGTCCTCCAGGTCCTAGACTACTGTTGGGCGGGGGCCCCCTAAGACCAGGACCGTACGATCCGGGCCCTAGGGGCCCCATCGAGGGCCCTCGAGGAGGGTTCATTCTGTTTATAGCCGGAGGACCCCCTAAAAAATATCTCTATAATATTTTCGAAAATTCAGGAAAGGAATGTTAGATGTAATAGCAACGACACCACATGCTAGCACCCACTGGGAAATTTTCTACTCTAGTAAAATAAGAATTTTTGTTTGCTGTTAAAAAAAAAAAGTTGATGAATATTGCACCTATTTTACCAAAGTAATGTATTTCCATAAAGCCTAAATAAATAAGGGTCCTGAAAGAAAATAAAATAAAACTTAGAGAAGAATATGTTAGTGATAAGTAAGTATCTATTTTGATATCTAACTAGTTTATTTTGTGTAGTTTAAAGAGAGAGAAAAAAAAAGAATTATTAGGAAATGAGGACCCTTTCTTTTGAAAACTGGAAGAAGCGAAGCAAGCAAGGAGTGTATGCGTATGAGTGTGATGGTGAAGGAGAGCATTTGCCTACCTTGCCAACCTACAAAATCTCCGCCATCACCTGGAGACAAGAAATAGATGCATTACATGAGGCAATTCATGAAATGGGCTTTCATGCTTTTTTTTGTGCAATTGGCTCTTTTCAAAATTAACTTGTTACTTCTTAAATTTCAAATATTACTGTTTTTTTATTATTAAATTAATTTCTTTACACCTTACAGCCAAAAAGTTGCTCTAAGCCACAAAATACCAGCCAGTTTCCTCTGTTAAAGATCTACTCCATTTACCAGTAGCAATTGAATAATGAAAATATTTTTTTTAATTAATATCAAGAGGATTCAATATTTTATATCAAATATAAACTGTCAAGGACAATGAAAACAATAGAAACATAATATAGGCCAATTTTTTTTTAATAGTCTTACTTTTCTATAAAGTTTGAGAGAAAATAATTTCATTATAATGGGCACAAAAGCAACAACAAGAAATCCAGCCGATAAGATTACACTAGTATAAATAAGCTTTTCAATAAAAGCTCCGACAAAATTTCCTTTTTGATGCAGTTTTAGATTATTTCTCAGGAATATTGGAAATTTAATGACAATGGTCATTCTCTTAATTTGCTTTTTGAAAACCCATGAAAAAAGGTGTTTTTTTTTTTTCAACTAAGAATATAAATTTATTTTTAGATATTACCCACAATGAGATTAGATGTAATTGCCAGTGTTTTGATTACAAATTAGGAAACTATTGTAATACACACATGTATTACTTTTATGAATATGTAAATCAATACTAATAAAAAAAATTACCAAATGTGTTTAAATGTTCTTTTGTTTGAACCTAACAAAGTTTTACAAAAATTAAAATACATCAATCAAGCCTTAATCAACTTAATTGCATTTATTTTTATTATCGGCACACCTTATGTATGATAATGCTCATTATGTAAATAAAAGCAATTTTGGTCATACATGGAAAACAAATCATAACCATAAAAAAAATTAATTGTTGCTGCAATGATGCATTTTAAAATAGTAAAACGCACTTTCAACTCTACTGTTAGTAAAATATCATTCCAACTTCGCCACTTTGTGGCTATAAGGTGTTAGCTGTTCAAATTAATAAAATAAGTTTAGTAAGTTCAAAAGAAAGTTGTTGAATAATTGAATAATCATACCTTGTCTAGTGGGGTCCATATTATTCGGCATCAAGGGTTGTCCAGGGGGCTAAAAAGAAATAATCGATACTTGAATAATGCATTCAAAATCTCTATTTGAATTGTAATAATAAAACAAATACATACTCCATTGAAATCGCTTCCCATTTGGGGCATTCTTACACCAGGTCGTGGTCCTGCAGGATACCTTGGGTTCATGAAGGGCTGTGATGTCATAATGTTTGAGTGTGGGGGTGGGGGTTGTGAATGGGGTGACGGCTGACTTGACGGGTGAGTGGGGGGTGAGGGTCGCAACGTTGAATTCTACAATAAAATATGTTTAGTTTTGATAATCGATAATTCAATTATTGGTGAAACAGTGTGCAGGTGGTAGAAGTTAGGAATATCAATGTTAAGGCTACCCCTTTATGTAGTTTTTTCTTCAAGTACCTATATCTACTCAAAAGAGTAATCAACTTATTATTTGACTTCTCTATAAAACCATATACCTATTTTTCTGAACTAAAAATATTTTGAAATTTAGAATAAACTTAGCGGAAATAAGGCTGAAGTTTGTAAACCGAACCAATCGATTATTGTTGTAGAATCGGTCTGCTGCGTTTCTTAATTAAATTTGTTCTCCTATTGCTGGAATGTATAAGTACCTACTTGAAAAGGGGCCATAGGGAGTTTTCGTTGCTTTTGAAACGTTCAACGATAAAAATTTAAAAAAAGTTTTCAGAGCTAGAAACCAAGTCAAGTAAAATTGAAAACGCAGCTTTAATTTTGGTTTGCTTTTTTGTTATATACATTAATTTACCAGTACATTTTGCTACCAAATTATGGACGAATTGATTTTATTGCACTGTTGGAAAACAACAACATATAATACAGAGCCGATCTTTAGGGAAGGTTCAACCTAGATGTCTTGTAAGAGATTAGTAGAAGCACTCAGAATTCCAAACGAATTTAATACAGAAAGTCAACATACAGTTTCAATACAAGAAGGACTTTGGCAGAATGGGGATATTCCCAAAGTCCTTCTTTTTTGAAATTTTATGTTGACTTTCGTCTTTCTGTATTGGATATCTACCAGTATTTCAGTTAGTGGAAACGAACCCATTTTTGAAAATCGCGAATGCAATTATGTATTAATACAAAACTATATAAAATAATATCCACATAATCCTAGTAAATGATTGATAACCAAACCAAAACATCAAATCAAATGTTAACAGCTATGTCTACTGTATACGACAAACGAGGTTTGAATGTCAAATTTGTCAAATAACGTTAACCTCATTGTGTAAGCAACGAAAACTCCCTGTAAAGTTGCATTACCTGTCATCGTCCTGTAAACTCATTTATTTTATTAAACTTGCCAATTACTGTTCCAAATCAAGTTTGAAGTATAACCGAGCCAATGTTAGAAAACCATTAAAAATAATTGAGCATGACTGACCCCAACGTTGGCTTTAAGCATTTTAACGACCGAAGGACGATTTTTATGACTTTTCACGTACCAATTCTTTCCAGTCATAAAAGCAATAATACTGGTGCGATATGAGGAATGTTACGAGTCAGAGCAGCGCAGCAAAAATTTCGATAATTCCCAAGGGAAAATTTATAACAAAATCGGTTTTCTAGAAGAAATAATGAAGAATTGAATAGCAAAACAGTGGCCACTTCTTTATAATCTCATGGAATTTTCATTAATTCATGATTTGAAAGAAAGAAAGACCAAGAAAGTCTTCAAAAACTCCAAAACGCATGTTTAAGATTTTCATATGGTGTGCGCAAATTTGACCATATCTCGCCCTACTATGTAGAGTCTGGATGGCTCCGGCTTGATGAGCGATTCTTCTTGCACATGTGTACAATAGTTCACAAAATTATCTTGACCCTCCAGCCTAAATACTTGGTTAAAAGACTCATCAGAGGGTCGGACATTCATAATCTACCTACCCGGCATAGAGGATTGTTTACAGTTCCCAGGCACAGGACGGCTCTCTTTCACAGGTGCTTCCGGTACGTTGCAACGAAATGTTACAACTCGATTACATTTGAAATGAGATGCTCTAAAACTGTACCTACGTTCAAGAAACCCCTTAAAAGCTTCCTTAAAGCCAGGAATTTGAAATCCATTTACATAACACCATAGTTTGTCTCGCTTGGTCATTCTGGGGAGTCTGAATTGATAGAATTGTTAGAATAAGTAAATTCGCATATTTGTTATTTGGTTAAATATTTATGTAATGCCATTCTTTTTTCTAGATTAATTGTATTCATGCTTTTTTTTTATTGTTCTCTTTTTTAATTATTTTTCCATACCATACATTTCATGGCGTTCACGAACTTGGCGTCCATGTTTTTCAAAGTGGTTAGATAAAATAGCTATGCTAGATCTCGCCACTTATTAAAACTAACCATATGAACAAATTGATGTAACTATATAAATAAAGGCTTTTTGATTTGATTTGATTTGATTTAGGAATTGCAAAAATCTCGCTCAAGACCAAAAATCGAGTATGCTGTGGAATTCGTACTTTGCAAAAAATATTGAGGCTCTGGAAAAAATACCATCAGAGTTACGAAATTTACGATATTCTGAGAAATTAGGAAGATCGAGAATGTCTTTCGCGCACAATTGTTAGGGTAATTTTATTAGCAAAACTCGTAAATATTCAGGAATTCGGTTATAAATTATTGTGTGATTTAGGTAAACAAGAATTTACGAGGATTTCAGGTATGATGTCTAGGAAAATTGATTATGTAAAAAAGCGCGTAGTATGTAATGGAAGTGCAATAGAAGTTATATAGAGAGAGTTTTACTAGACACGTGGAAATTCGGGTAGAAAAAAAAAAACAAGGTAATTTATGAAAAAGTCAGAAAGACAAAGTGCGGAAAGTGGTGCTTTCCCCTACGCGACGGCAGTTGGCAAGCTGTCAAGGGTGGAAAAGGCATTTTCCGCAGAAGTTAGGTGTAATGTTTTTCCACAAGTATTTTTGTTCATCTAATTCATCAAAAATTGATCAAAAAATCTGTGTAAGATCTAAATTTTCTCAATAGAAAATAGTATCTATAGATAGTAATTTGATTTGAAGTAAAAAATAAGTAGTACATATATTTTGAATTAAAACATTGTGCTCGTAGGAAAAACCTATTTCAAAAACCCGGTGGGTTTTTGTTGAGTTCTGAGTTAGAGATTTTTACTTGGAATGTCAAAGATCTTAGAACACAAAAACCCTACAGAAGCACAACTCTTGCAAAAACCCAAAAAAACCAATAGAAATTTTCAAAAACCTCTAAAAAAATCTCTTATGCTATCCTTATTCAGCTCATTTTATTTATTTGTTTTCTTTTTGCCCTTCAAAAGTAGGTATTTACTTTACTAAGTATTTAGTTTAGCACCAGATTCCCACATAACAAAATTGCATCCTTAGAATGTATTAAGAATGTTCTTTTTTTAGGAGGAATGTTCCTAGAATGTTCGCCAAAACCATTGCGAATGTCCTGAGAATGTTCTGAGAAAAGATTGTAGAAATACTGTTTGCAATACCCAAGAACTTCCTGAGAAATCCATTAGGATATTCCTAGAATATACCTATGAGATTCTCAGTACATCCTCAAAAGAATATTCTTGTTTGCTTCTAAAAATATGCTCGATATGTATAGGTATTCTCACATTCAAAGAAATGTTTCTATGACATTATAGTTATGTTCTCAAAAAAATATTATACCAATATGCTTGAAATATTCTTGGAATACATCTACATATATCATTCTCAATGTGCAACCTAGACATAACATTCTTGGTTGATTCTAAGGATATACTTGGAATATTAATTTTCGCTTCCAAATAATGCTCCTTTAAGCCCTTTTATATTAAAGGCAGTGAAACAGTTGTTAGAAAACTTCTCTGGAAAACACAAGTATTTAACCAAAGCTCCGGTTTCGAGCTTGTTATGCTCTCGTCGAAGCACGCCAACTGAGAGAAACAGGTTCCAAGGTGATTCAAACGCGAGGTAAGATGTAGATCTTTATTAGCGCGTGGCTCCCTCTCTTGGAAGTCCTACAAAGCAAAAGGAAAAGAATATACCTATAATATTCTTAGTAGGTTCTAGATAGAGCATTATTGTTAAATTGTTAAATTATGATTTTTGAGTAGGTACTTCAGATAATTAGGTGAACAATATGAAAATATTCTTATCATGGTTACCTACCTACATAAACTTCTCAGCACAACTTGATAGAGATATTAGCCGAAAGAACATTTTTTAGGGTTCATTATAATAATGTTCGTATGACAATATTCAAAGATTGTTATACAAAGTAGGTTCTTAGCACAATCTTTCAGGTAGGTGCATAGAAGCAACATTCCTAGTATATAAATAAAACGTTCAAAAATGAATATTTCAATCGAAACAATCTTAGAATACTCATTAAACATTCCTAAAAGAACATTCCAATAAGCACTTTGAGGGAATATTCTGAGAATATGAATGTTCTTTCACTGTTATGTGGGTTAGGAGAATTTATTTCTATTTTATTTTTGTCTGATTTTCTTTGCTCGTTTTTCCTTTATTTGTTTAAATATTGTAATATTTCTATGTATGAGGTTATGTTTTACAACAAACCTATAATATGGTTTGTTGTAATAAATGGGTGTTTAGGTAAAAAAATCCTGAAAATCTATAATCCTTGAACGTATAGGTACAGTATATAGTCATAATTGTTTCTTTCACGAATCATGAAATATTTCCAAAATTACCAAAATAACCGCAAAATTATCGGTAAATTACCACCGAGAAAGAACAAATGAAAATTACCGGTAAACTTCAATCTCTACACACAGCACATCCTTCTCAGGCTTCAGTGCTTCATCGGGACAATAATTCGGACCGGCCTGAGAGAGAAACAAAAAACAGCTATGAGCTACAAGCGTCCACGCTAAGTAGGCGGCTCGCAGTATGAAAGTCTACAAAGAACAATAGCTATTCTTTCTAGTTCCTGTGATGTCAGTACATAAGAAGAAAAACCATGCAAGCTGGAGTAAAGTATAAACCTGGATGGAGAGTAGAGGGCATTCTAAAGGCGATTCATTTGACAGGCATAGACATTTTAAGCATTTGGATAGATGGGAAGATGAAGATGAACCATGATTAAAAATCAAAGTTGGTGTCAAATGATAGCTTATGAAAAGCTAATAAAGATGGGATTGTAAAATCGGTTTTGCTGTAAAATTAACCGTTTAGGTTGTCTGTCAAAAGTCAATTTTCGACTGTCAATATTTCCGAAACAGTTGAAGAAAGGTATACGACATAGTACAGGAAATATGTCAAATATTTTCCGTGAAATTCAAAAATGTCATTTGAAAAAATTAAGTGGATACCGATGCAGCTGTTCCAACCAACTTTGTGTAAATTATCGAATTTATTTCATTTGGCTGATACACACTGTATAAATAATGTGTGTATGAGTTGTATAACTCCAAAGGATTCGGAATTTTAATAGGTTCATTGAGATAAGGAACCAAAACATCTTGGGATTATCATGTTTTATAATTATTTGTCCGGCGTCAACCATATAAACACTTTGGTTTGGATCAATAAATTAATCATAATCATAAATCAATAAATTGTTTAATTGCTAGTTTATAGTTTAAATACTCACAGGAAAAAATCCCGGTGGTATTGGACCTCCGGGCATTCCATCGGCTGGCATCTGTGCCAACGGACTAGGCGCTGGACCAGTATTCTAAATTTAAAAAGAAAAATGATCAACTCAAAAATTGTACAAAAAAAAAGAACTAAACAACTTACGTGAGCGATTCCATTGACTCCATATCCAGAATTTACAAAGCCCTAAAAAATGGTAAGTAAAAAAAATATTGTCGCTGTAAATTGAAGAAAAAAAGCGGCTTTTATTGGACGAAAGATATGGCAACATTGGGTTTGTAGCCTGTATTTTCCGCGGTTGGCGGGAGTGCGCTGTACGAATCGAAGGTGAATTTTCCAAACGGAAAATTGTTCAAAAACAATTTTATGATCGGGAAAAAAAGGGTTTTCAACCTTGTAGGTATAGCTAATAAAATAAAATTGATTTCGCTATTCGATTCTTAGAAAAATTTAAATAACATTACATAATATTTAAGTACCTACCTATTTAAAGGTATGGTACCTTATCTAGTGTAATTATTTGTGTTGATTATTATTAGAAATGTTTAGGTTTACAGGGTGCTCTAAGATTAACAAAATATTACAAAAATTCCACAAATACCCAAATTCTACCTGACCAAAAATAACTGAACGAGCTACTTCTTGGAATCTTATTGCATCTGTGAGTTTGACCTCCAAGCAAAATAAAAACGATTCTCTTGCGTTTCCCATTATTTCTCTTTTCAATTGAATAAAATGTATGCAAGTATTACACAGTACCATACCAAAGTTTACCCATACCTAGTAGGTAGGTAGGTACCGAATTTGTCAAATTTGGCACCTGCGCGTTCTTTGCAAAACTTGGTGAAAGGTAAAAATCGCGATAGTTGCAGAATAGAAAGCAGAATCATACATGAATTTTTTGCTTGTTGGTAAATTTTCTGAAATAATAGACCAACCATACCATGAATAATTATTCTAGATTGTATTTTAAATGGTTTATGGTAAATGGAAGTGAAAATACCTATTTGTATGAAAGTTTTTACAAAAATATTTCTGTGAGCTTGGAAGAACCTCCCGTAATCACCATCTATTTTACTAAAAAGAAGTAATAGGTACTTTGCAATAAATATGTTGTTCCAAATATTTTTGGCAATTCAAAACGCGAAATGCCATAAGACGCAGACAATAATATAGTGATAGTATGGGCAGACTGTTTTCCTAGAAGACAAAATGTGAAATAACTTCTTCAAATGAATTTATATTCCTGACAGTACTAATTACAATTTTATTTACAGTTCAAAGAACCGCTAGGTTTAGACTAAAAAAAAAAGTTCTTCAGCAACAATTTTCAACATGATTTCATTTGTACTTGCTAGCGGTTCTTTTAGAGGTTGACGTAGTTGAATGCTCAATTATTATTAATGGCTGCTTATGAGCCTATGGATGGAACAAGATCCAGTTACTAATGATTCGGAAATATATCCAATTTATCAGTTATATCCCTTCTCTCAGGTCAAATTTTCACTTGGGTTACTAAACTGCTGGAACTTCGATACGCAAGAAATTTTTTGCCTATTTTTGAAGTCAAATATCTATATATGTATAAGAGATATTTGATTGTGGTTTGAAGCATATTGGGGCATATTGTTTGGTATATGGTATCATGCTGATGAACAGAAACGTTATCTACAACATACAGGGTGATCAATAAAACTGTGCAAAGTTTAACAAATTTCAGGGCGTCGCCATTTCTTTCCAAACATACTCCTGCTTTTTTTCTGGGTGTAAGAAGAATCAGTAGTTCAATGGTAAAAAACAACTTGAAGGGTTTTTGAATAAATCTCGTAGTTTTGCAGAAATTTCACTTTAACTGAAAAACGACATTCGTCACCCTGATTCATTGTCTCAGTTACTCGAAACAATTTTCTCCATTATTGTTGATTCAACGTTTTCGTCTGTTTTTATTTTGAGAAGATTTTATACAGAGTGAAGAAAAAGTAAGTTTTTAATACTAATTATTGGGTGGTCCGTAAAGATAATTGCGCCTCACAGTAACTGGAGATAGTAAGCGTCGTAACACGTAACATATACTGCGATTTATAGGGGCACAGTCCTCTTTGTCAATTGATATGGCAGCAGCCTTTCTCTACTTTATTAGGCAACTTTTCGCGAGGATAGTCAAGCATAATCGATTTTGCTGGATAATGTGATGTGTCAATTGTGTCATACTCCCCTAACTCCCCCACCATCAAATTCTAGGATACTCGAACCACTTAATTTCTTCTGTGAGAACAGACCGAAAATCACTTTTTCTACATTTAAAATCGACGAAAAAATTAACTCACTAGGACAGCCTGAATCGCAAGCATTCCATCGAAGTCTGCGGGTGACGTCATTACTATAAGCTGCCGATAGTGACGTCACTCGCAGGGCCAGAATTGGATGTAGAGGGAGTTAGAAGAGTATGGCACAATTGACTTAAAACCAAATATATGATTATATTATGTTTCATAGGTGGAAAAGCTATTCTGTTCTCGAGACGCCGAGATATTTGGTGAATTATAAGCACGTACCATGTCATAAGAGGGGCTATTTCTACAGGGGTGGTTGAAAGTAGCGGAACGGTTGAATCTCTTTCAAACTCGCTTAAAAAACCCGCATACTCAAATTTCGTTATCTGGAGATTTCCGGATATACAAAATTGAATGATTCAATTATATCGGCGCTGCTGACAGATCTACCAGTTTTGCCCTACATCATTGTCCAATTTCGTTTGCCCAGAAACCTCCAGATGTCGAAATTTGGGAAAGCAACATAAGTGGGTTTGGAGAGATTCAACCGTTCCGGTACTTTTTACCACCTCTGTATAAGTAGCCCCCTTATGACATGGTCAGTTCTAATAATTCACGAAATATCTCGGCGTCTCGAGGACAGAATAGCTTTTCCACCTAGGAAACATAATATAAATATCAAAAATTAGTATTAAAAACTTACTTTTTTTTCACGCTGTATAAAATCTTCTTAAAACACGAAAAAAGACGAAACCGTTGAACCAACAATAATGAAGAAAATTGTTTCGAGTAACTGAGACAAAGAATCAGGGGATGAAAGTCGTTTTTCAGTTGAAACTGTAATGTCTGCAAAACTACGAGAGTTATTCAAAAACCCTTCAAGTTGTTTTTTACCATTGAACTACTGATTCTTCTGAAACCCAGAAAAAAAGCAGGAGTATGTTTGAAAAGAAATGGCGACGCCCTGAAATTTGTTAAACTTTGCACTGTTTTATTGTTCTCCCTGTATCTTGTAGATAACGTTTCTGAACATCAGCACGATACCATTGAGCACCAAACACTGCGCCCAAAAATGCTTCGAACCGAAATCAAATATCTCTTATACTTTCTGAGATATTTGACTTCAAAAATAGGCAAAGGATTTCTTTATGCGAATCGAAGTTCCAGCAGTTCAGTAGGCAAAGTTATCGACTTTTCAACTCTCATCATAATAACTGTGGTCCTTATGCTAAGTACCTTTGCCATATATTGCATAAATGGGGCGTCTGTTTGAGATAAATTAGAATTTTATAACAAAATGAATAATAATTATTATTTTAGATTTTAGGGTTTTAATAATGATATACTATAGCATAAAACAACAATATCAGATTTCGAAAACAAAGTACCATGTAACTTCTTCAAAAATTATGCGTTTAGGATTCAAATTTCCTAAATACCTCAATATTATCAAAGAAGGCGTATTTCTTGAAATATATTTCTCAATACATTTGTCAAAAAATGAAAAACATTAAAAAATTAATCTTCACTTTCATGTTCCGAAAATGTACCTTCAACAACATCTGTAGAAATAAATATTAGGTTACCATTTGTTCGTATATTTCTGTATTTTGAAGTTTTTTTTTTCTGAAACCTGATAGTTTTCCAGTTTTCTTAACTTACCCCGTTTAACGGAGTAATAAAACGTTATAGAGCATGTAGAGTCATAAAACAACAATAATTCAACGGTTGGTTTGCTAATTGCTCTATAACCCATATTTTATGGTTTCGTTTGATATAATGCACGTGCCAACTATATTTCCGAAAAGTATATTCCCCTGGCCACATTGTCATATTTATAAGCTTTATTTTATGACTAAAATTTTATTGCCTCAGCATCAGTTGAATGGGATATGTGAGCATACCAGCTACCTATTTCAAAAAATTGAGTTTCCTCGCGTGGCATCGTCTTGACTAGAACAGAATTTTTAACTCTACTTTGGCATACATACCTAGTAGACCGTCAGATAGTGACATATTTAGGTGCCCCATTTTCGCATACAAGCCTCGAAGAGGGTTGAAAAGTACATCGATTTTGAGTAGGATGAAGGTATTTTCACGAGTGGCTCCTGGGGATAACATATGGAAAATTCGATTTTACTTATGTTACCCTAAAATATAATTTTCCATTCGCGACACTCAAGCCAATATGTTTTCTTGCTACCAACTCTGTAGATTTTTTATCCTTCCGATGGGCTTGTGTGGAAAAATCGCCAAATATCTCGATTTTTCCTTTCAACATTAGGCCCTTATTTCAAACCTTTAGCCACCTGCAACACCCCCTTCTTTGTTTTCACGAAGCCAGGATTTATTATTTAATCCTTTGGTGAACACGGCTTGCGAGAAAATATGGGCACTAGGACGTCTTTCATTTCTGTTATGAAAAATACAATTTTCCATATGTTATCCCCAGGTGCCACCCGTGAAAATACCTTCATCCTACTCAAAATCGATGTACTTTTCAACCCTCTTCGAGGCTTGTATGCGAAAATGGGGCACCTAAATATGTCACTATCTGACGGTCTAGGTCAGTGGTTCCCAAACTGGGGGGCGCGCCCCCCTAGGGGGGCGTGAAGCAACATTAAGGGGGGCGTAAAGGCGGATTTAAACAACTTTTGATAAATTTAAGTCGTAATTTTTACATAAGTTAATGCGTAATTTAATAGATAACTCAAAACCCCAGTTTAAACAACTTTATAATTTGATACATAATTTTTGAAATGCCATTAATATTTTATTGATATTTTGAAATTTAACACTGGATAACCTAAAAAGTTCCCAACTTTTAACTTTTATGCATTAAATTATGAAAAAACTAGACCTTTCGAGTTTTGTCAGTGTCAAATTTAAAAATATCAATAGAATATTAATGAC